GGGGGTGCAGCAAACAGGGCTGAGCCCTGAGCCTCCTGCTGGCAAGGGCCAAGCAGGGCAGCCCCCGCCAAGCAGATGCTGGGCTTGCACATGGCTAGGTTTTCCTTTCTGTGGTGACAAACCAGCACCATTCATCTGGCAGAGATGGGAGCTGTACAGCACAGAGAGGGTGGGTCATGCCTTGCCCTTTGCCTCTGCAGGGCTGGGGGAAGCCAGATGCTCTCTGCTTGCCAGGGAATTGGTCCTTACTTTGCCAGGCCTGGCTCAAGCATTGCTGCCCCCTTTTATTCACAAAGGGCCCTGTATTGCGTTTGCACAGGATCACTGTGGAGCACAGTTAATCTGGGAGCTGCAGAGTCAGCAGCAGTCATCCAGGGGCCCTGGGAGCAGCCTGCATTTGGACTGGCCACAGCCTGCTTTTCAACACACAGGGGCCTTATCAGTGGCAGCACTGGGGTCCATCTCTGTAGTGTGCAGTGCCTGAGAGCACTGCCCCACAGAAACCATGGGATGGCTGCAGGAAACTCCAAGGGCTTAGCTGGGGTGAGCAGCCTGTGATGGCACTTAAGACCCAGGTTTTCTTAGGAGTGCCAAGTTACCCAAAATTTACGTGCTGCCATGTGGGCTTCCCACTAAGCAGTTCATCTCCTGCAGCATTGCCTCCATTTCACAGAGGTGAAAACTGAGAGATGCTAAAAGCAGAAAGCCTCTCTTACAACTGCAAGATGCCAAAATGCTGGCTGACTAGATGAACAGATGTGCAGAGGCATGCTAGGTCCTGCTGATGGAGGGGCATCTGCAGGTGCTCCACACTTGGGTTAGCACTAATGAAGCACTCCAAATAACTGGGCACTTCTGAAAAATCTGGCCTAAATGATGCATCTGGGGTGGCAAAGCATGTGCGAGGCATAGCTGGGAGCAGCAGCAGTCTTCAGGCAGTTTCCCAGGTCTAAACACTAAGCTTTCTTTTCCTATGAACCCACATTTGACTGAATACTTTGTTATCACTGGCTTCCGTGCATACACTAACGTCTGTTTTAACAGAGTTTTAACCCTTGAGGTCTCCTGCTGCTCCAGCTCCATGGTTTCCCTGGGGCAGTGCTGTCAGGCACAGCACTACAGAGATGGACCCCTGTGTGTTGAAAAGCAGGCTGTGGCCAGTCTAAATGCAGGCTGCTCCCAGGGCCCCTGGATGACTGCTGCTGACTCTGCAGCTCCCAGATTAACTGTGCTCCACAGTGATCCTGTGCAAATTAACACAGATTCCATGACAGAAATCAGCCTTGTGTTTGTAAGTAATTGTATGTATTTCTAAGTATTTGGTGTATGTTGAGAGAAGAGCAGTGCATGTCCATGGGTAATGTGGTCACCAAGGCCCCTGAGCTAAGCAGCACCCACAGTGTCCTCTGCTTATGCCCAGCAAAGCTGAAGACTGTAGTATACTTCACTCAGGAGAGATGACTACCATGTGTCAGGCATGAGCTTTGAACCAGGGAGTAACAGGCATAAAGCTCTTATTTCATTTCAGTTACAACATCAAGAGGCTACTGAAAACAAAATAAAAATATTTCAGAGAAATATTTCTACTTTGCCTGTTAAAAATTGGCTGAAAGTGATACCTTTGATTGCCTAATTTGTAATATGCCTCCAAGATGGGATGACAGCAGTGACTGTCAAGGCATGAAATTCCTTTTTTTTGCCAGCAATATTTGTCTTTTACCAATGAGCTAATTGATTGAGCTTGGCTGTTGGAAGCCATGAGTTTTATCCACAATGAACCCTGTATGTGTTTAATACCTATCAGCTAGAGGTCAAAAATGAAAGGTATTTAATCTCCTCCTCTCAGTCCTAGCAAGAACAATTTTGAAGTGATAGGTTTAAGGGTCCACATCAATTTTGTCTCCTAAACAATCGTTTCACCACATTCTTTCAGTTACACTTTATCTCCAGCAGGATCTAAGCAGCAGGTATTGAGCCTGACTTTAAATCTCGTCAAGCCCTAGCTTTCCCTGTGGCAATACAGAGGGAAATATTTAGTGCCAGCCACTCTGCCACTTCACCTCCTGACACAATATTATTTCATCATAACCTGTCCAGTGAGCAAATTGCCTCTTTGGCCCCCTTGCTGTCTCTGCATAAGGGCTGGGCTATTGATTGTGACAGTGTGCCAGTGTGCACAGGGTGATTCCTGGAGAGGAGGGATCGATGGGAGCATAATTGCTACCTTGTTGGCAGCAACTGGGGAAGAGGGGCTGGAACAAACAACTCAGTGGCAGAAAAAAAGCTGACACTGCTTCTGGAGCATCTTCTTCTGGCTGCAGGGTGCCTCACCATGGGGCAGGGGACACAGCTAAACTGATGCTAGGGGAAAAGGCATCAGTTATTCCCATGGAAATGGTTTTGCATTTACAGAGTCACTTATGGAGGATTAGAGAGCTGCAGATCAGGGGAAAGAATGGTGAAGGATTTGTGTCTAGAAAGGAGTCATCAAATGAAGAGTTGGTGGGAAAAGTGCCATGGCACTGCAGTTTTTTCTCCAAGGTTCATGTGCATTGCAATCACAGAAAATAGGTCTGGAAGGGAGACTTCAAGGGTTATATAATCCATCCCCCTGTCCCAAGGCATGACCAGCTATACTTACACCACTGCAAGGCTGCAACCCCGGCTTGGGGCAGGATACAGTGATATAAAATGGGCCATAAACCAACACTTTAACACAAAACCAAAGGCTTCTATGCTGTAGAATGTGCAGAGACTGTAGCATACAGAGTGACCAAAATCATGCCAACGTATTACCTGTTGGAGCAATCCACTTTGTAAGCAGCACCTCTGTATTAAAGTGCCTCAGTGGAAAATTTTCCAAACTTAGCCTCAGAGAAAGATGTAAGCTTATGGGAGTTTGAATTGGAAGCAGGTCCTTACAGGAACTGAAGCCTGCTTTCAAAAGTTGGGGATACTGGGCTAGGCTCCACCGCTTTCTTCTCTGTTTTCATTTCCTTGCAATGTCACAGATTCATTTCTGCCACACTGATGATGCAAAGTCATGGCATTAGCAGCTCTCAAATCTGTGTGGAAAAACATGTCTTCAAAATTCAGCAGTGATCTCATGCCAGCAAGCAGATACTCAGCTGGCCAGGGTCTGAGGTGACAGTCCGTTTTGCTTTCAACACACATTGCTGTTTTTCTCACGAGTACCATCCCAACTTATCGCAGCTTCGTGTACTGCAAAAGATAATGTTTGTTCTAAGTGCTGCTTTTGTCTCCCTGGCAGGGACTGGCTGGGAAAGAGCCAACACATTGCTGGTTATCTCCATATCCACCTGGAAGTGGCAGCACCAGAAGTCATGCCATAGAGCATCAGGCTTGGCAGAGAGCAAGGAAGCAGCAGTGTGCTCCAACCACCCATGGTGAGATGCACAGAAGAAGCTAAGCAAGGAAGGCCAGAATTGAAACAGCAGCAGTGGGGTGAGGGAGAGCACCAAAACTCAAGTATCAGCAGCTTAGCTTTTTTCCAACCTAATGTTCAACAAGCACAGAAGAAAACAGAACCCAGACAAAGCTGAGCTCTAACATTCCCCTCCTGGAGAGCCTGTCTGCAGTACAGCTCGCTCCACAAACACAGAAATTGCACATGGTCTTTTGCACGAGGTTCATATATCTTTTGCCTCCTCACTTGTCATGTTACATCATCCTAGGGACTTGCACAATATATCCCCATATGTGGAGATTGTGTAGAGATGCAAAGTCACTTACTAAAAAAGATTTGTTAACTCCCCAACTTGCCCGAGCTTTATCTAAGTCAGGAACAGACAGCAGCAGGGAGGGGAAGGAGGCAGGCATGTCACTTCATGTTTTGATCAAAGATTCAAGTTTGTTATTGATTCATCCAAGCCCATTTACCTATCTTCCACCCCTGAATTCTTCCTAGCATCACTGATTCTGTCTCTGGTACTTACACACCAAGCCAAAGAATTTCCTCCTCAAAACTGTGCTATGAGAAAGCAAAGGCAATGTCTCATTCTCAGAAACTCCATCTTTTCCATCACACACTGGCCTCCTGCCTTCAGGCTCAGCTTGCAGCAGAGAACAACTTTGTCATCACTTGTAAACAAAGTGCCTTAATGCAGCTGGAGAATAAACACAAACCACAGTGCTGTTTCACAGAGTTACTTCTCTGATGTTACCAACAGTGTGTAGAGCTTACCTGGTGCTTTGTCCCCTCAGATCTCAAAGCAGCAGACTTGCTGTCAGATTGGTGGGGAAAAGGACTTCTCCCCACACCTCAGTCCTAAAATGAGATTAACAGCCTAGAACAGACTTGAGAAAAGTTAAAAAGAGCTTGGAGTAGCTGTAAAGCTGTGTTTGGTGTATGTATGTTTATGATAGCAATTCATATTACCATTAAGAAACTGCTCTACTCTGCATTGATGTGGCCTCACCTCGAGTCCTGTGTGCAGTTTTGGGCACCAGATATAAGAAGGACATTAGAGAGTATCCAAAGGAGGCCTAAGAAGATGGTGAAGGGTCTGGAGGGGAAGCCTTCTGAGGAGTGATTGAGGTCACTTGGTCTGCTTAGCCTGGGGAAGAGGAGACCAAGGGGAGACCTCATTGCAGTTACAGCTTCCTCGTGAAGGAAAGCAGAGATGCAAGGACTGATCTCTTCTCTCTGCTGACCACTGACAGGACCCAAGGGACTGACATGAAGTCGTGACAGCACCAAGGCTGCCAGAGTACAAGGAGTGTTTGGACAACACTCTTGGTACTTGTGTTTCTCTTGGGTCTGGCCTGTACAGGGCCAGGAGTTGGATGATCCCTGTGGGCTTCTTCCAGCTCAGGATATTCTATAATTCTATTATTATATATAATAATCATATAATAGTAGAATAAAAAGTCAATAATCTCCAAATATTGGCAGTCTCTCAGAAGAAGAGGTAAGGTGCTATAGGATGGTAAATCTAATAGAAAAGAACAAAAAGAAGGTAATAAAGGAAACCCAGCAGGAGCATTAGCATACATTTATTGGAAATTCATCTAGTACAGGACTCAGAACTGGAGCACTTATTTCCTCTACTTGCTATAAGTTGTTATAGTTTCTGAGACTAAATACAGAGGAAGATGACCATGGAAAAACAACTCCCCAGCTTGTAGAGGTCTGTGTGCTTCACCCATTAATAGGGTGGCCAATCTGCATCACTCTTCTAGCCAAACCAAGCATAATTCCTCATGGAGAATTGGCAATGATCTCATACTCACTATCACACCATGTTTAGAGAAAAAATCCAAATCTATTGCTATTCATACATCAGATGGGCAAACAGATACCAGCTGCAGAGTAACCCACTTACTCTGAATTAGCAACGACTGTATTGCAATTCAGGCTTTGAGCTTTTCTAAAATATAAGCAGGGAGAGACCATCATAATGTCTGTGATAATGACTGGGTATGAGGATCATGGAGCTGAATATTATTTCTCCTAAACTTCTTTCTTAGAAGAGGACGTGTTCAGATTTGGGTGGTTGGTCTGAAACTGTGCCTGTGTTCATTCATCTCTGGTCAATATCCAGTTTTTGTGCTGGGACATATCACCATGCTGATTTCAGTTCAACAATATCATTTGAAATAGATAAAAAGCACAACCTTAAACTAACCTTCCACTGGTGCATTATTTAATAATTTAATAACACTTATAATTCTGGAATTAAAATTATACCATGTAGAAGCTTGGATAAGAATGCCAACTTGGTTATACACTGAAAATATCTCCTCTTTTCAGGAGCACAAGCAAGTTTCTATTATAGATTAACATTATAGACCAGATCTTCATCTAGCATAAACTGACAACACCACTGTGCTGTACCAATTTATACCTACAGCAGATGTAGCCCAGTAACTTCAAAATAATCAGATCAGCAGCCCCATCCACAGCACTAAGCAGAACCATACACAGGGATATATTACACATGCCTACTCACTGTGGGTTATGTATTTATAGAGCAAGCTAAACTGAAAGGAGTTAAAACTGTGCACTGTGATGCATTCAATCCTTTGATGTGAGCAACAGGGGTGATGGCAGTGTTGTATTGGAATTGGATATGAAGGCAAGAACGTGCAGACATGGCTAAGTGTGACAGCTATGCTAATACTTGGAGACTCACGTAGTACAGAATGTACAGAATTTGTGATTTCCTTGCACTGAGAAAAGAGTTCCATCAGCTTCAATTGAAGGTTATTGGTCTCTGAGGGCAAGGGGGACATATGCATCCTTCTTTGCAAACTGCACTGTAGTAGGAAAAAAGTTGGTGTGTCCCCATAATTTTATGGGCTAAAGCAGCAGTTCTAATGGATGTGAAATCAGATAAACCCTGGCCTTCCATATGCAGGACTAGGTCAGTGTCCTAGTCTCAGAGGAAAGCTATAGACAGAGCAAGATATAGCCTTGCATATACGCTGCTAGACAAGATGAGCAAGAGAAGTCCAAGTTTGCACCAGCAGAGCACACCTTGGCTCCAGCTCTTAGTCAGCCTCCCATTCTGTCTTTGCATCCCACACTAGCAGCATAGCACCCCCAAATACCTGCATAGGGAAAAGCACAGCTTGCAGTATTTGTGCAGGCTGCCCGACCTGGCTCCTCCGAGAGCAGGAGCAGGTACAATCAGGAGTGCTGAGCTCTGACAGTATAGCTTTGCCTTTGAATCTAATTAGCAATGCAAAGTTGCACCCGCAGCAGAGCCTGCCTAACGTACAGAATAAAACTGGCCTATTTCTTAATGCTCTTATTAGCACTAAATACCTTCCCTCTCTGCCCAGACACATGGCAGAGAGAGCAAGAGACGAGGGCTTTAGCTTTTGTGCATAATCAGGTGGGGCGAGCTATCTGACCCACACTTGCCTCTGCCTCCCCCTTCCAGTTAGTGCTTTCATCATGTTGAGCTCCTGTGCTGTGGTTTCCAGGCGAATTTCCACTCAGTGCTCAGAGAGCTGAAACCTTTAGATTAATCCCAGATCTGTCAGCCTCCATCATTTTCAAGCAGGGCTGTGAGCTGCAGGGCACTCCGTTACTTTCTCTCGCACTGAGGAGCCTTAAGCCTCTTGCTCTCACTCTCCTGGAGAGTGGGCAGCCCCATTCTTCTCCCTCGCCAGCCTGAGATGACCTCAGTCTGTGGCCAGTGTGGTTGCAGGAGGATTCTCTGTGAATCAGGTGATTAAATTGTTTCCTCTCCCTCAATGAATTTTGACTTGATCTGCAAAGTTCCAAGTCAAGTAAGAGACAAAGGCTGCCAGCAATCCCCTTGTTCCCTTACACATGGTTGCCCAAGCCCTTAAGCTGCAGCCACTCTGGCTCACACCATAATCCTGCTTGGTTGCTGCAACTGTGGAAATGAACCTAAATACCCCACACGGAAACTCTTAAGCCATTTCACTGATAGTTTAATACTCTTCTTAGGTTAAACTCGAGATTTTGCTCAGATCTGTTTTGGTTAGACTGAACTTCTCTGGTTCATCTTCTGGTGATCAACTGCCAGGGGAAATTTTCCCCTGCTCCAGCAGACCATCATTGCCAGTTACCTAGCCCCCACCTCTAAAACAACACTCAGCAGTCACTCGTGGACTTTGCATCCTTTCCTCCTGCTTATTTCTGTTTTTGCCCTGCTGCAGGCAGCAGCAATGGCTGCTGAATGGAAGCTGAAGTACCTAGAACTAGTACCTAAGACAGCATGGTTCAGCATGGTTCAGTTTGGTTCCCAAGACCTTTGGGCTCACAAATCATGCATGAACCTTGAGAACTATGGAGAGCTTGCCTCCAGCAAGCTCTTAACCTGCTGGAGATGCTGCATGGCTAATCCAGCAACAGCAGAACCCTTGTAAGATCAAGCAGAAAGGACAGAGGATTTGTAAAAGTACTCACTGAAGACTTAGTTCTGGGCTCAGCACTGTACAAAGCACAGGCAAATAACTGGTCTCTACTGCAATTACTTCTAATCCACCGTAACACTTCCTTCCAGCCTCTCCCCATCTCTGGAGGTGAACTATGCTTACTCAATCTGCAATTGGCTCTGCTGGATTTCCTCCCATGCTGTCTAGCATGGCATAGGGATAGAAGTCTGCAAGAGCTGAGCACTGCAGAAGTAACCACTGGTAGAGCAAAACAGTCCTGATCCTGACTGGTAGGCATTAATGTGATGTTCTGGAAGCTGGAAGGCTGGTATGAGAAGCTGGCCTGAACCAGAGCACTGGTTCCCCTGTATGAGCCTGAAACTCTCGGAATACCAAGGACCAAGGTTTTCCATGTCTGTGACAGTCCTTTAGTGCTTTAACCCCACTGATACCAGGGAAGTGATGGACAAAGAGAAAAGCACAATGCTGAAGCCCATAGAGGGGGCATGAAATTAAGCAAAAATAGAACAGTGAGGACTTGAAAGATCTATCCCTAAAAAACATTGCATACATTAGGAAAGCCAGAAAGTGTGAGCAGGGTGGTGCTGGTAGCCACTGGCCACGATACCAGAACTTTTTCTGGGGTCCTTCCCATCACACAGGTGCTGAGATGAGCTAAAGAAACCCCATGTGCTGGACACCAGGCCATGCTTCTGATACCAACCACCTCTTGGAAGAGCAATCCTTGCCAAGAGTTTCAACGGGGACTATTTGAAACTTCAGATACAGCGCAGGAAGCAAAGCTCAACATGCACACCATCTGGGACGCTGAGAAAACTGCAGTTTGCTCCAACCCCAGAGGAGCAGATGACTATCTAACACTGCAAGGTCTCCCAGCCTGTAGGCCCTACAAGCCAGCCATGGGCAACTGTGATCCTGCCCTCTGAAGCCCTTCCAAGCTGGGCAGAAGTGCTGCTCAAGGTGCCAGGCTCACTTCTTCAGCAATAATCCTTTCTGTGCATACCTCCTCCTCATGTGAGTACCTTCTCCTCCTGTGTGGAAAGGAGAAATATTCTGGTGCTAGGTGCTGTGGGAAGAGTTTAACCCTTCAGCTCATAACAAATAAATCCCATTGTTCCAGCACCCTGGCTAGCACTCCCTCCAGTCTGTACCTCCTGAATCCCTTTTGAGAGCAGCTGAATCAATGTTTGACTTGTACAAACAGATGCCTGACTGCAATTTGGAAGGGATTCAGATGGGGATTACAGCAAGGCAGTGGATAAAAATCTATTATATGGCAGTATTTATTTTAGATCCCTGTGGCACTCAGTGTGAACTCTGGCAGCATCTCCTGCTCCTTACTCAGTAGCACAAGTGCAAGGGATTGAGAAGAATCACTTTCAGGAGTGTGTACTGCAGAGCAGTCAGAGGAGAGGACTAAGATCGAAACTGAGTACACATTTCCAAGCCAGACTTACTTGGCTCCACAGTGGATCCTCCCAGGGGTGGGAACATGTTTCATTTTCAGGAGGATTTGATATTGATAAAATTGCATTGCTTTGATAGCCCTAAGGGCCTCTGCCAGCTCTGGTTTACCAGACCAGTGTTTCTGGCTTAGTGCAGCTGCATCCAAGATCAAAACCCAATCCTGCCTTCTCTCTTTGGGCACAGAAATGACCCAAGTCCTGAGTCAGCAGTAGGAGCTGCCTGGGAGGAGGAAGCTCTTGTGTCTTGGAGCAACATTGCAGCAAGCCCCACTTTGCTGCTCTCTATTAATAGCTTAGCAATGAAGGGAATAGGTCAGGCAAGAGGGCACCTTCTTGTAGGTGGCAGTCTCTGAGATGAAGTGTCCCAGGAACAGGACCACAAAGCAACCACTCAATGTCCACAGGGGTCACCACCAAACCACCACTGCTGGCCCAGTCTTGCCAAGCTAGTCAGGAGGGTACTCATACCCAGGACAGGCATGAGTACCCTGAGTCCTTTCCCAGCTTAGGCACACACAGGTTGCTGGCAGGAGGGAGCACCAGGGTAGTGCTGAGAGATGCCGCTGATTTAACAGGCTGTGACAGGGCTGTCCAGCAGCAAAGATAGGCGGAGAAACCACCACTCTTGAAAAAGAAACACAGACAGGGGAAAGGTCTAAAGAGACTGAATTGCCCATCCCCAGCTTTGCCTTTTCTTGTGATGAAAGTACCGAATTTTCATCTGCTGGAGGTACACCACGTGTCGAGGGAGACAGACCTCTCTACACCAGTGCTGCAATATTTTCTCCACAGGGTGATAGTGCTAAGAGCAAAATGAGCACTGGCCAAGGCTGCCACCAACAAGGCAGCACATGTAGGCGCCCAATCCCTGGCAGCAGCATTTATTTCTGGACTGAGTGATGCAGAGATGACAGGAAGAAATGGACTGGAGAAAGGCTGGAGGAGCCAGAGCTCGTTTGGGCAGCCCTGGTGATGAGGGACCTGCCCTGAGCACAGCCACAGACTTCAAAGCCCAGAGTGGCTGTGTCCTAAGCACTTAACAACTCCCTCTGGGGACTGCTCACATGGCTGCATCTGTGCTGGAGTCAGCCCCATGCCAGTGGATGAAGCTTTCCCAAGAGGTGCCAGCAAAAATACAAGGTAGCAGAACCTCCTCTTGCTCAGCTGTTCCATGGGCTCTGCACAAGTCACTGTCCCTCCTGTGCAGCATACCCAGCTGTATGGGTGACTGTGTTGATGGACAGGCTTCAAATTAACCAGCATTGCTGGGGCCTTGGATGATGGGTCATTTTCTCAGCTTAGCATTTTGAACTTTTAGTTTAAATTTTGCTATCTGTAGTCCAGAGATAAGCCTGCCCTACAAAGACGCTGGGAAACTTAATGAATGGAAAGCTTGCAATGTGCTTTAAGATCACAAGGAAGAATATACAAGAGACAGGAAAAATATTGCAATACATGTAACATTTTATCAGATTATAACAAATTTTCAAGTACTTCATGTATCAATCTTTATATATAAAGATGTGCTCTATCATAGATAATTTTTTTCAGGACCCACATTGCATTGAAAAGAACTAAGATCTGGAGGGCTGGGAAGAGGCCACAATTCAGATTTCTATCCCCTGGACTCATCCCCTCCATATGGTCTTTTTTTCCCTTCACTTCCCCTTTCACTACAATCCACATTTCTGTTATCCTCCATTTCACCCTGTCTTCCTCTGTCTGCTGTTGTGAAGTTATTGCTCACTGGATTTTGTTTTCACACAGAAGCCAGAAAGTGTAAGAAATAACATGGGGCCCCAGAGGCAACCACACCGGGACAGCAGCATTCACATCTTTTCCTCTGGATGCTCTGACTGCCTTTAGGAGTTGCAACAGGAATGGGAATCTGTGACTCTCCCAGCTTTGTATGTCATTTCTGTGACCACACAGGCTTTACTACTGGACTAAGCTGAACTCCCCAAGAAGGAGGGATTCACTTTTGTGTTGTGGAAGAGCCTCCATCCTTGTGCATGTAATTTAGTCCATCCTCGTCCCCAGAGATCCTGGCTTACCTGAACAAGCCCAGCTTTTCCACCCAAAGCAAGACACTGGGGCATTATGCTATATTACTGCTAATGAAGTTGCTTTGTTTGTTCTACTGCTTAGGGGACTAAGTTAATGTCTCAGAATGCCCTTTAACAGTATTTGTCTTTGTTTATTAAATATTTATTTTGCAAGATAAATGCAGATAAGAGACTCCTAACAGGCTTCCTTCTGGAAGGAGAGAGTGCTAAGAGTTACAGAGGATAAAATGGGCATAGAGATACAGGTTGAGTTCTTATCACCCCTCCTTCTTAACATGTAAAAGATAAATAGCTTCAACCTCCGAATTCTCTGATTTTATTCCCCATCAACCAAAAGAAAGTGGATATGACATGCCTATGAATCTTCTGCTCATCTTTGTCTGTGGTCTGACACTCCTTCCTTCCTTTTGATGTAAAAAGACTGTACTTCCCAACACAGTGAAAGGGAATCCTACAGGCTGATTGCTCCAAGAAGGATTTTGCAGGACAGGAGGAGAAAGCAGGATGGCGCTGGTACAGGAAGCCTTCTGCAGCAGTATGAAGGGAAGGGACGAGGGGAAAATCACATAGATGTATCACAGTCAGGATTAGCCTGTTCGCTGGTAGCCTTGTGGACTCTGTACAGACCTGCTTAGCTTTCTTTGAGTAAGCATATGGCAAAGGAGAAATACAGATAAACCATAGAATGTTAAGGGGATGAAATGGACCTTAATTATCATCTAGTCCCAACTTCCCCCTGCCATGGGCAGGGATGCCTCCCACTAGACCAGGTTGCTCAAGGCCTTATCCATCCTGGCTTAATGCAAGAGGGTGAGCAGTTGGGATCAGAAGTGAGCACCGTGGGCTATCCCAGAGCTTTGCAGGAAGGTTGAAATAGCCTCCCAACTCCTCCCCATGACAGCAGTTTGGTGGGTCCCTGAAGCCAGTCTATGACTCACAGGATCAGAGTTTTTTAGACAGAGGAACAGAGGTTTTAGAAGGGACATGCCTGATGCATCTGACCCTGATGCCCTGAGGAGAATTGGCAGGTTGGGAGATGGTGCTGGTCCCTTGCACTGCCACGTTGTATGATCAGAGTAAAGATGCCATCTCCTCTCTGCCCATGCACAAGCCTGGCATTTGAATCCAGCCTTTCTGGTCAGAGCCCACTGTGGCTCCTTGCAGAAAGAGATTCTCCCCCATGGCATCCTTCTGCTGGGAGGGTGACTCCCCTGGCCTCTTCCTGGGAGCAGCTGTAAGGGAGGAATTGCCATCTCTTCCCAGTGTGCATGGGAACTGAGCTGGGAGGGAGTGGCGTGGATTCAGCCTCCAGCCACCTGCTGTACAGAACGAACGGGCACATCATTACCCAGAGAGCTCTGTAATTTTGCTTTGCAAATGCTCGCCCACTGGCACAGAGCCCGAGGAGGGAATAGGGAGACGATGGTTTCTCACAGCTCTGCATGCCAAAAAGGCACTTTACCATGCATGAGGCCACCAAAGCTTCCCCAGCCATGAGACCTTGCAGATTTAACTCTCTCTGCTGTTCCTCAAGGCAGCTTTTTGTAAGAGGGGTGGAAGAGTGGCAAGAGAGGCAGAGAGGGAAAGAAGAACAAGGGTTTTTTGAAGAGAGAGATGAAAGCAATGAGGGGAAGGGCAGAGAACTCTGGCTAGGGAAAGGGGTATGTGGAGGTTGTGGAAGTATGTCAAGACAGGAGTTCCTGAAAGAGTTGCATGAAAGGAAGAAGATTCTGTCCCCAAGGCTTTCCAAGCAGGCAGGCTGTAAGAACCTTCTGGGTACTAACAGCAAGAGTGAGGAAGAGCCTGCTTGGGACTTGCTGCTAAATGCACCAGGCTGCTTGTAGGGAGGCTGGTTCACACATAGACACTGTGTGTACCTGCAGCAGCATGCCATTCCTCCTGCCTCCCCCACCTCCCCAGAGCTTTTCAATTTGTGGACAAATTTCAGCTAAATCTATGACATGGGTACATCTCTATCTGAGAAGACTCATGAAAACAGGCAAACCAACAACAGAAGAGAAACCAAATTTCTATTAAGAGATGTGAAATGTGAATTCAATACCAGCAGAGAACTCATACAGAAGAGTGCTTTGCTGAATGCGTCACGAAGTTCAAACTCTAACTCTGAAAAATATCTTTTCAGCCAGCAATTGTACAAAACCACAAGAAATTGAGTAAGCTGGATCCCCATGCCCCATGCGTGCTCATACTTGCTCACCTTCTAATTTTGAGCTCATGCCCTGGAGATGTCCCCTTCTCTGAGGTGTACATCAGAGATGGCAGTGAGCTGATCCTGCTAAGAACAAGTGTAAACCCAAGTGCTCAGCAATCATCTTTAAAGAAACTCTCCCTGCCCTGCAAGTCTGAGTCCCCACACACACTGCTAGAGGATTGCTACATCCTACAGAGGATCTGTACAGAGTGCTGTGTAGATCTTCCCAGGCAGCAGGGCCTTGCACTGACTTGGATTGCACCAAGAAACTGTGGCAGAAGTATGGCCCAAGAGGCTGTGTGTGGCCAGGCTGCTGCACACCAGAGAGGGACAGAAGGCTTTGCTGCTTTCCACTTTTCCCAGTGTAATCTTGTGATTTCTGCTGCTAGGCCTATGCCCATCTGGGAAGATATTTTCAGGACAAAAGGGAAGCAAGGCTGAATCCAGCTCCAACTTCTCTAGCAAGCTGGGAAATCATGTTCTGTTTAAGCACCTCTAGATATTCCTTTTCTACAAGCAGGTAGCTCCAAAAAGAGCAACCTTTATGCTTTTCAAATACCATTCCCCAGCCTTGCCTTAAGGGCTCTGGCTAAATTAAGCAACATGTCAACATCAGAAACATCTAAGAAAAAAAACAGAAGTCATGTGGAAGCAGGTCTTTGGGATGCAGGGTCAGATGCTCTCCCTTTTATAGCAGAACACCTGTTTTCTACTTAACTCTCAATTTCTAACAGCATAAGCCACAAGCAAACTAGATCCACTCTGGTCACTTGGCCTACTGTACCAGCAAACATGCATCCCAATTCTGCTGACACTCTTACATGCTCCAGTAGCATCTACACCTTACAGTATATTTATTGGGCCTAAAGTCACTTCAAGAAGCAATTTTAATGTAATTTGATGACATTTTGATGAGTCATACCATTTTATTACAGATTTGGATCAGCCCTTATTTTTAAAATTATTTCTAGAAGTGTAATATGATTTTTTTCAAGCAGATAATTAGGGGTTAATGCCCTGAAAAGCTCCAGTCTGTGCCCCTTGATCTAACACATATACATGTAGACTTGACTTCAGCATCAGGGCTTTAAAAATGAATATGGACAAGGAACAGGCAGAAAGAGGGCAAACCCCAGAATGACTAAGAGAGCATTCAACATGTTGGTTGCTGTGATTTTTACTGGTTTTCTTCCCTTTCTCCTGAGTTTTTCATCCAGTTCTCACCCATTCACAGCACAGTGCTGTGGCAGGTGAGTATTTCCTTGGCAGAGCTGAGAAACTAAAAACTTTAATTTTAGAACTTTAGAAAGAGTCCCTTCAGTAATGCTAACATCACTCAGTATGATGTTGGAATACAGCTGGGAATTAATGGGTCAGAACAAAAAATTTTCCCCACTCTGGGAAAAAATGTGTATTGCTGTTGATTGCTTCATTTCTTTCCAAAGTACATGGGAGATTTCAAGAAAAGACCCAAAAAAAAAGGAGAAAAATGACAGAGACTTTCTATATTTAGTAGCTTCTAAATTTTGGCACATTTGCTTGCTAAAAATACCTAGATGGTATTACCCATTGCTGTGGTGGGGGAATCAGTATTCTTCTTTTTACCATCCAATTATCCAAGCAACAAGAGAGGCAGACAATTGGAATTTGATATTCCCTGACAGTTGTCTGCTGAACACAGAGCATTTAAATGCCCGTTTGCAGAACATGTTGAGGAACAGAGTCCAGTTAATGTGTAGCTGAGGCGCTTGGCAGTGCACCCAGCTCAGCCCAGAGAGCCAGCAGGCAGGATACCAGTGCCACTCCTCACCTGAGGCTGGGAGAAAGTGCCTTCATTCCCCTTAAACAAGGCATAGTGAATGGGACCACAAGCACCAAAGACAGCAGCAGGATGTGCACAAGGAAAAGGGACATGCCTGGAGCAAGGTGCCTGCCCAAACCCTCATCCCAGGACACCTCTGAGCAACTGGGACACACAATCCATCCTCACTCCTGGATTAGGACACAAGTTATTTCTTTAGGGAACGTGGGACTATGCTTGCTCTGTTTCTTTTAAGCACTGCCCCAGCATGGTGCCTGTTAGGCAGCCCGGTGCCAACCCCAGCTGAAGACCCAAGCTGGGAGCATCCACAGCCTCAGGGGGCTCGGTTGTCATAGCCAGCCCTGCTTGGTGCCTGCATCTCTGAGGAAAGCTACTGATGCTGCTGCAGGATTGTGCTGCCCATTGTAACCTGGCTTACTTGAGTTACGTTCTTGGACCAGGATCTAGGAGCAAGTTTCCTTGGGTCAGTTCTTAGTTTCAACCTTCTTTATGTGACCAATCATCAGTTTTCTGGGACTCAGCCTTCACTTCAGTATAAATACCACTAGTAGTAGGTAACCACCTCCAAGTATGAAGTGGATTTTATGAGTACACATGAAGCTGCTGACAGCCATTAGTTTAAAGTGCTGAACTGTATCCTTTGAACAGAAGCACCTTGAACCTAAATTATCCCTAAAGAGCAGCATAAGAACCAATGAGGATCTCTAGTCACAGAGATCTAGTCTCCCCTTCCAACAGAGTAACAGGGCTTGGGAGGCAGCAAGTGCAATGTCTCAACATTTTGACATGCGACTCAAGACATTCAAGAGAAGATTGTCTAGGAAAATGTACTGAGGGATAATAACATTCAGTTAGAAAAACATTTCTTTAAAATAGTTATCATTAATACCTTGCCAAATGAAAGGTGTATTGAGTGGATCTTACAGGTATTCATTGGAGGGTCCAGCACTAGTCAGTGTTTCCATTAATGACTTGGATAATGGAAAAAAGAGTATATACTTATACTTATTAAATCTTCTAATGACATCAAGCTGAGTGGGACTGAATACACCAGAGGACAGAAATAGAATACCAGATAATCACATCAAATTGGACAAATGATCTGAGAACACAAGATAAAATTCAACCAGGACATATACATGTAATTGGACTTAAGCAGAAATAATCGACTTTATTAATACAGAAAAAAGAACAGCTGTCCAGGTGGCAATTCTACAAAAAGGAGTCTGGAAGTTACTGCACATCACAGTCTGAAAAGCAATAAAAAACAAGTCTCACCACCACAGGACAAACAAGTATCATATTGGGATTCTAATGTCAGTCTGACAGACCTGTGATGTAGATTTTTCCCTGAAGGAATCAGTGTTACATGTTCCGCTCTGAGACAGAGGCCAGTTGGAGAGAGCCTGGGAGAGAAGGGGAATGGACAAATGTTTAGGATCCGTGGCCAACAAGAATAGACACAACAGACAGAGAATGTCCAGATAAAGAAATGATAACTGGGGAAGCACACCATAACAGTTTTCAAATATCTGAACAGCTGCTACAAGGAAAAAGGTAATCAGTTTTCCATGCCCACGGTGAATAAGAGGCAATAAATTCAACTTCAGCATGGAAGATTTGGGTTAATCTGTTAAGAATAGGGAAGCACTGGAATAAATTGCTCAGAGCTCAGTCAAAATATTGACAAAGGCAAAGGAGGTGCAGCTGGATATGCCGTGGGCAAGGAGACAGAGGAGATGATCTCTCAAAGCCCCTTCCAATCCTATTTCCTATAGCTTTTTTGATCAGTAGTAGCAAGTTTAAACTGAAGCTGTTCACAGAACTCTGCATTCCCCAACTCTCACATCAGATATTTTCCACAATGAAAAGGGAGAGTTTTGAAGTTTTTACAGTGCAGCAAAACACACCCACCATTCCATATCCAGCTTCAGCAAATTTCTTTTCTAAATATGCCAGACACATATTTATGTGCTCTCAATGCTATGAGGGGCCGAGCCTGAAACATTAATCTTTCAGCAACAAAACTATAGTCCTCTTCCAACAAGCCTCTGTAAATGTTCCTAGGGGTGACTACAGAGCCTCAGACCTCCATGGTTGCCTCTCCCTTACTCCATAGCCCCAGCTAGGAAAACTGTTTACATCCCAGGCTCACTGGTCTGTGCATATTCCAAAAATACAGAGTTTTGGGAGGTTGTTTTGTTTATGTCTTCCTGTGTGAACTTCTCACACCCTAAATCTAATGCACCCACCCAACAAATTACAGTCACATCTAGAAAGATTATAAAACCCTAAAATCACTGTCAGTCTCAGACTCCAAGAATAGGACCAACAGCAACTAGTGTTTGTAACACCTGTATTTGAAGTCAGCCCCCCATCTCTTTACAAAAAGAGAAGTCCTTCTGCCAAGAGCTAGAGCTGTTGCAGGATCTGTGGTGCAGGCAGACGTGTCACAATGTTCTGCTGTGGGGCAGAGTGCTTATGGAAATGGGCAGGGAGCCTGTGCTGGGAGCATCATGGCCTGCAGTGCTCCTGGAGGAACATAACACAGGTTATGAAAGTGACCACAGGACTGTAACTAGTGGAATGAGGGCAGACAAAGGCATTCTGCTTCCTTCTTTAGTGATCATAAAACTTTCCTGGTATTATGATCAGGACTGCATGAAACACTGTCTCCTATGCCATACATATGTCTCCTCATGGTCCCACAGTGATTCTCTCCAAATTGAGAAGGTCATGCTTCCTATTCAGTCTGTCAGCAATGAAGATCTTTGAGGCCATTTCTTAGATCAACCATAAAGTCACAGACCAGCACCTAGCAAAGTCAGTCAGTAATATATTTTCCTGCTGAAGAGCTTCTGAGACAAGCTGTCAGCTGGCCCCAGTTGTCCCAGCTCCTCCTGAAAAGGCTCAGCTGTGGCTGAGGGGTTTTTCTTCCCTGCTGCTCTGTCTGTCTGGCAGGAGGCTACTACTCTGGCACACTGGGTGTCCCCACCTCCTGGAGACTTAGAGGAAACAAGGGCATATTCTTAAGTGGCTGCCCAAGCGAGACATTGAGTAATTTTGGTACAAGACAGAAGGAGCCCATGTGCACCTCATCCAGTGAGATGTGGGTCCCTGCAGCCTAAGTGGACACGCCACAGGGACAGGGTACAACTACACTTTTATCAATGCACTCAGAGGGGAAGGGGGCCCCCTGGGGCAGACAATCTCTGCCCATTCTTCCTCTCCCATCTCTCGCCCACGGCAACTCCCAGCGATGCTCCCAACACAGGCTGTGCCCCTGCTGCTTGAGTTAATTACAGTAGTTATACCTGTGCTCCTCAGCTCCAGCTCACTTCTGTTGTCACTTCCCTGCCCGTTCATTTGCAAATCTAATCACTCCGTGGATTTTTTCAAAAGAAAAAGTGGTAGGGAGAGCAAGGATACAAATGAAAAAAGAAAGTATGATTCCTGCAACAACAATACAACAGAAATTGAGGCACCATTGAGCAGAACACGGAGTTTTATTTAGCAACCATGTAAGGACTGCATGCTGCTCCCAGTTCTGATAGATAGGCCTTTGCTGGGTTACAGCACTAGAACAGAGTGGGGAATAAAGAAAGAATTGCATCAGCCTCCCCCAGTGCCTGCCAAATTGCCTCAAGATACTGCCCAGTGCTTGAGAGCTCATTTGCAAAAAGGCAGGAGAGCTTCCTGGGCACCCAGTGTTCCCTGCACAGCAGGATGCCCACATGGACACAGGCACCATGAACCCCCAACAACCACTCTGCCTGATGTGAGTCCTACCCACTTCTTGGGCAGGTTTTATGTGTACAAGAGGCACTGCAGGATCTGCAGCTGTGGAAACAGAAACCTCTTTTCATGCCTGGGAGGCTTTCCAGCAGTGACCCTGGAAAAGCTGTGGCTAGAAGCATGCACTTCAGGTCATCTGTCTGATGAGGATAGATTTGAGGTCAATCCTTTGAACACAGAGGGGGAAAAGTGTAACCAGGAAAAAAATGGGCAGAAATGGCTCCCTAATTGTTTGCGGGTGCTCTGAAGAAGAAGAGAAAGCAAGAAAAGGAAGTTATGATGTGCCCTGCCAGCTGACACTGGGACCAGTGTTATATTGCTGCCAGGCAGCAAAGGAGAGCAGATGGGTTTTGTCACCCAGTACTGTGGATACAGTTTTGAGGAGAAAAATACAAAACTACTGGGTTTGCATTTTACTGCCAAAATAGTGAGAGTGAGAGGCAAAGGGACAGCCTAGTTCCTTTGCACTAAGTGCAGCAATTTAATTACACTGCGCTGAAACACTTTCACACCAGCCATTACACCAATTGTGCTGTGTAGCCACACACTTCTGAGTTTGTTCACAGTATCATCCCAGATGCCAGAATTTCCCACTGTGTGATGACACTTCAGTACCAGGGCTTTTTTCTCTCATTGACCATGCTGGAAATGCAACCCAGGGGCCGCAGAAGTCCAGGAGGTTGAGAAGGTTAGGATAAGCCTTGATAACGTACTAGAAGTATTTAAGAAGACTGAAAATAACTGATATTTCTTATTACCAGAGTAAATGTTTCACTGTATGCTTTATACACAAAATATTTCTTGTTTTGCATGTCTGCATAGAGAGAACTTCTCTGGACAGAAGCAGGACGTAGAAAGGCCTTCTAAACATCATGGGCAAGAAAAGAGGTAGTCAGGGAAACATGTTGGAACTATATAGTATTTCTATTTGCAGTTAATATCCAACTAGAATATTTTTTGGTGAAGTGAAAGCAAAAAATTAATTTTAATGTAACAGACAGGAAAATGCAAACCCCCCAGAGTTAATGCCTTGTTTCCAGGCAAGAAATATGAAATGAATACTGCACTGCAAAACATGTAACTGCAGCATGACAAACTAAAGGGTCTCCAAGTCCTTTAGGTGATGTGTACAAAAGGGCTTTCTATCTCCCAGGAGGCTGATTGCTGGGGGAGGAGGGAGAGGACCTACAATTAGGTTGATTAAAATAGAGGTCCCAGCATGGTCTGTTCTTCACTGTTGCCAGGAGACTAGAAGGCTAGGATGAACAGTTCAAACTTTTTGTAACAAAAATAGGTGTTTACTTCCACACTATATGATCTTGGCACTCTCTAAGGCTTAGCATTCTCCATTAGTTCACAAGGAAAAAAACCCAATCCAACTTCACTTTCTTAGACTTGTGTTAAGATGGATTTACAATGTTCAAAACTGTACCAATTCTTCCCTGCCTCCACCATCCCAGCCCAGTGCCAAGCTCTATGCTAACTGTTCAGTGGCTGTTCTTTCACTTTTTGTAATATTTATCTGGTCTTTCTTTCCAGATCTGGGCCCTAGAACCCAATAAGCAGGTCAGTTCTAGGTTGCTTGTCCCGTCCACAGAATCTACATCTGAAGTAAAGGGTGGGCAGGTGGCTCAGCTGATGGGTGAGGACACTGAGATGGGCAGCCACTCACAGGTTATTTGGTGGACATGCACTACCCTCAGTCAGTGACTTATGCTGGAAGAGGTGACAGTAATACCTCAGGAAACAGAAGATCTTGATGGAGAAACCAAGAGCCAGGTTATCTTACCAACTTGATCCATTTCCCCCCCCCACACACTTTTCCCACCTGATACAGATGTAAAAGAAACACCAAGTACATTGGTGGGAGAAGGTTATAGTCCAGAGTGAAGCCCTACTTTTTTGCTCAAGTCCCTTTTGGTTAGCATCCTAAAGCATACAGAAAAAAAGCCCCAAAACAACAACAACCTAAAAAACCCTGCAGTAGTAGCTGTTTCAAAGTTCTGAGCCTGAAGATCTTTATGCATTTGAAGCATTTGATTTAGGCCCTTTGCTTCAATGTAGGTCTGTAAAGCCAACGAATTAATAGATGCATTAATAAAACTTAGCCAATATGCCTTTTCTAAGGCTTTCACTTGTTGCATCTGTTACTACAAAAACTGCACATGCCAAGAAATGTGTTTGCTTTTTAACACCCCAATGGGTGTTAAAATTCTGAAGCAGGTGGCAAGGGGCTGTGATAGATGGATGGATAGCAGGCATGGCAGTGTTTTAGAAAAGAGGGATCAAGATGACAGCAAAGGTAGAAGATTGCGAAAGTAGCAGCAAAATTAGCTGAAAGCTGAAGTCCCTGCTACAAATGTACTGAACGTGCAGAGTCTGAATGCCAAAAGAGAGAGGATCCTTGCTCCTGTTAACACAGCAGCAATCAGGCAATAGCTGGAAAGAGGCATTTAAACTTCCCTGTCTAGCTGTGTTGCAACACAGTACATAATTACTCATTGTGCTCCTTTCCACAGCCTGCCTGCTGGAATTCATAGAATCACAGAATGGTTTGGGCTGCAAAGGACCCTGAAGATCACCTAGTTCCAACTCTCCTACCATGGACAGGGGCCCCTTCCACTAGACGAGGTCACTCAGAGCCTCATGCAACCTGGCCTTGAACACTTCCAGGGATGGGGCATCCACTACTTATTCTGGCAACCTATTCCAGTGTCTCACCACCCTTATAGTCATGCATTTTTCCTAGTATCTAAATCTACTCTCTTTCCTAGTATCTAAATCTACTTCTCTTTCAGTTTGAAGCCGTTCCCCACCTGCCCTATCTGTTGGGGAATATGAAACAGGAAAGCCTTATAAATATGATTGCCTAGCAAAAGATTTTGAGCATATGGAAACTATAAGCAAGACTGAAATGAAAGCAAGCTTTGACACACCAAACCTAAGTTACTGAACAACTGGAAAACAATAGTATGGCCAGCTGAAGGTAATCCCCTTTTGATGAAACAAGACCCTCTGCTTGCAGACAGGTCCAAGGGTCAGAGCAGACTCTACAAGCTTGGCAGAAGGGGTTCAAAGAGTAGTTTTTAGGGTTTAAAATGTAGCACAGTATGGTAATGTAATGATTCTTATAGGCTGTATGTAAACGCTATAGGATTTGTATCTTGTACTAGATTGGCTAGTGAAAATTAGAATATTCAACACAGAAGAAGATTTATTGTATTGTAACAGGAACTTCATCCTCTTATTCCTCGCTCTCTCTCTCTCTTTCAGGCTCCTCTTTGGGGCCTGCTCTGAGCTGTGTCTGGCAGCTCCAAGCAGGGCCCCTGCACCCAGGCCCTTTGCAGTAAACCACAAGTTCCACAGCCTGGCTTCAGAGATCTCTCATCTCTGTTCATCCCCACCATCCTACCCACCGTCACTCCTACACTATCACTACAGCATCTTGTCAAAAGTCCTTCCCCATGTGTTTTGTAGGTTCACTTTAAGTACTGGAAGGCTGCAATTGGGTCACCCTGATGCCTTTTCTCCTCCAGGCTGAATCAATTCAGTTCTCTCAGCCTTTCCTCATAAGGAAGGTGCTTCATCCCTGTAAAGAACTTGGCCCTTCACTGGATGTACTCCAACAGGTCCACGTTAGAGCCTCTGTGTTGGGGACCCCAGAGCTGTACACAGCACTGCAGGTGGGCTCTCACCCAGAGCAGAGGGACAGAATCCCCTTTCTGACCCTGCTGGCCACGCTGCTTTGGATGCAGGATACAAACTGTCTTTCTGGGCTCAAGAACCTGGGTCATATCCAACCTCTCATCCACCAGCACCCCCAAGTCCTTCCCAGCAGAGCTGTTCCCATTCTGTTCAACCCCAGCATGTGTTGATACCAGAGGTTGCGCCAACCCAAGCACAGCACCTTGTACTTGACCTTGTTAAACCTCATGAAGTTCCCATGGCCCCACTTCTTGAGTTTATCCAGATCCCTCTGGATGGCAACTCATCCTTCAGGTGTGTCAACCACACCACTCAGCTTGCTGTCACCTGCAGATTTGCTAAGGGTGCACTTGATTCCTTTATCTATGTAATAAATGAAGATATTAAATAACTGCAATACAGACTCCCAATTAATTGCCAGTTGCTGTACTCTGTAGCCACTTCATCATGGTTTGGCTGTGACACTCCTTGGATACCGTCTGGATCACACAGAGAGGAATTCACACAAGAATCTAAAAGCCTCCTGACTAAATCCCATCATGAGCATGAGGCCTTCATAGTCATCACACCAAGCTTGCTGCTTCCTTGCATTCTTGTGGAGCTATGGCACAATTCACAGGATCTCTAGCCAGACAAAGAGGGCAAGCAGCAGCACTGCCACCACAAAGTCTGGTTTGGTCCTTAGTCTTCAGGTACTTCACCACATTCAGACTGGATAGCAGCCCTGTGAGTGGCCCTTCCCTGCATTTGCTCCAACATGTACACCTAGTACTAGGAACAAGGAACTCTGGCAGACACATCCAGGAATCCTTGGAGGGGCTCAGATGGGAGCATGAAAGCACAGCCACATTAGAGGAGGATACAAATCCACTATTAATAGCACTAGAAAAAGAGCCTCAGATTTCTCAACAACATTTTAATAGGACTGTTTCTGCTTCACAACCACCTTGACTGGATGTCAAGGACGCACTATAAAGGCAGGTCAATCCAGGTGTGAAGCAATGTAGCATAGAGATAGCAGCTGAGTGCCAGAAGCAAAAACCCAAGAACACACCCCAGAACCTTAAGCCCAGCAAGCTCACAGTGGAATTACTGAATGAATTGCTTCCTGCAACTGCAGACGCTAATTATTTGTGTGTTTTAATTTTTGTACTTTATGTTCTTCTGTCCAAATTAAAGTAAATCTGATTTAATGACCCCATACAGACTCCAAGCATGTTTTTCCTTAAGAGCTTTTGCTGCTAGCCAGCACCTAGAGGAGGAATAGTGTCATTTAAACTCCTATTGCGGCTTTTGTCTTCGTGATATGAAGACATTGTGTAACAGGGAAAGAATGGACCTTCAGTCACACCTGTCAACTAGACATAGCTATCCACCCTTCAACAAAAGCTATTGGGAGGGTAACAGAGCCCAAAGAGATGCACCACAACATGTTAACAGAATCCAACAGATGCTTCTCAGGTTCATTCCTTGACTCTGCAAGAAGGGAGAGCCAGACACAGAGCTCAAGGATGCATTTCTAGCTTACCCTCTTAAATTTCTAGCTATTTACAAACTCTTCTTGGATAGCAGCCTCAGAGCCTTGCTTATATTCCTTCCATCTTGGATATTGCTCCTCTGACATTGTTCATTCCTCAAGTTTCCAGAAAGTCCTTGCGGGTGAGACAAAAAGATTTAAAAGTCAATATTGCTTTGTAGGGTCTGCAAAGCCAAACATTGTTATTTAGCACCTTGACATCTGTGAATTTACAGAACTATATATCCAATACCTATTTTGCCACAGATTCCTATCACTTCACAGAAGCTCTTTGCTTCCACTTTGATGACCTTTGCCACTGATGGTAGGAGAGGAGGATATTTGTCTCAGCAGATAAATGGCTCCACAGACACAGAGGAATCTGTGAGGTAGGTTATTAAGTAGCTGACACAAGGGGGATTAACAAGAGTATGGGTTACCTTCAAACCAAATACAGCCTGCCACAGACCTTCATATTTAAGAGGAGCCTCTCAGGGTAGACTTGGTACCTTTGGTCAGTCAATAAGACCTAGTACTAGTCTCAGCAAAAGTCTCAGTTTTACTGCTTAGTAAAACATGGTTTATGTTTTGAGTCTCCTAGAGATGTTTCTACTGCAAACTTCTCCTCACATGGCCAAATTCTGTAGACAACAAGGGAGGAAAACAGAGGTGCTACTGAGCCAACAGGCAACAATGGTTTTTGTCTGTGTAAGCAATGCATTGATGCACTCAATCAAAATTCTCGTCGGTGACATGGGGTGACAAGGAATATAGGCTGGCAGAGACCACCACAGAACACAGCTCTATCCAAAAGTCTCTGCACTGCTTTGCTTTTCTCACACTTTCTCATTTGTCCTCAGCTGTGATCACACCATCCCAGGCCAAAATGCACATACAAGACAGGATGAAAGTCTCCTGGTGTACTCATTGTCGGGCTCACAAAGAAATTCAAGAAGAGATAAACTATCATATTCAAAAGCCACCACCATCCCCAGGAGCAGCACTTCCACTAGCCACCCTTGCCTTGGTTTTTTTCCCCAGACAAAGAAGCAGAAAAATATTCGCCTTTCTCCAGGTCACCAGACAAAACAACCCTGCTCCTTGGGACCCTCCCTGCTCTGGGTTCTTCCCTTCCTTCGTCACACTGCCCACATGTAACACCAAATAAGTTACCAAAGCCTTCAACAGATGCACTCATTAACGTCAGCAAGAGAAGACACAACCAAAATCCAGAGCTGCAACCTCTGGATAATGCAAACTCATTATCATTTGTAATGAGTTGATGGAAAAATATTTCTGCCTGATTAGAATCTTTAGTGATCTCCTGATTATTTTGAGTTGAATATGGCTGGCCTTCTCTTTTGGCCCAGTCAGAACTGCAGGACAGCTTCTAGTACACAGCACGTATCTCTTACCCTCAGCCCAGCAGGAAGAGGTATACTCACTCTTCTCCTTCTGTGCCACACCCTGACAACAGCAAAAGAAAAATACTGCTGGTATTGATATATCAGCCCTTGTTATAAATCAGGGTTAAACTTTCTGCTGCTTGGGAAAAACCTTTAGTCATCAACGATGTCACCAAAGACGTCAGCCAAAGACACTGAGTCATGTTGCACCAGAGAATGTGCTGTGGCTGGGGGTTTTAAGACCCTTTAACAAGTGCTTGGCACCAAGATGCTCTTTTTCCCTTGTATTGTATCTATTAAAAACTTGCTCAGCTGAAGCAATGAGTACTGTTGAGTAATTCCATTTGCAGAGAAAAACTGCAAAATAGGTATTTACAAAAAACATGCACTCAATACAGCATGGTAACCACAGTGCTGGGGATTCCCAAGGCTGAAACACAGCTCAGGAGCTATCACACTTTCCCCAGGTATCCTCCTTGCTGGCAGCTTCAGGAGGAGCCAGAGAGGCCACGACAACAAATGTTCCACTATCCCAAGGAGGGTCCCTCCAAGGTGGGCTGTGGTGCATCTGCAAGGCTGTTCCCTGAATCACATTGAGAGTTTTCTTTTCTTCTTTCAGCTTAGAACTACAGATGGCCCCACAAGACGTTGTTCCTCCACAGCCTCCACATTTCCCCAGCACTGCAGGCCCACATGATGACCAATAGAGATCAGCCTCTCTCCACCCCATGATGTGTTCTTATTGCAAAAGTTCCACACCTTCTTGGTGATTTCTCATGGGCATCTCTTCACAGCACTAACTCCTTCCTGTTCACAGCACAACCAACAAAGTCCACCTCTCTCCTCACCCAACTAACCCACTCTTTTGTAGCACTCTGCTTCTTATTGGACACAGCTGTGGCCTATCAAGGGCAGGCCTCTTCCTAATCTTTGGTGATTAGTGCAGCTGCAACTCCTCAGGTGAGACTACCTTCTGCACTATTTTCTTACATTCTATCCCTCCACAACCCCATATACAAAGTCTGGGATTTTATAGATGAAGAGTCCTCCACCTTCATCTCCTTTGTCCATTGACTCCAATTCAAGGCCCTCAACTCCTCCCCCTTCAGATTCTTCAGACAACACCCTTGCAGCCTGCACTTTTGACTTTCTCTCCAAAAGCCATGACAGACAGCAGTTCTTCCCATCAACTGATTCCTTCTTCCACAGGGACCAGCAGGATCTTTTCTCTGGCTCCCCAACATCCCAAACATCAGGCCAGTTAGTGGGAGGGAACAGAAGAGGTTCTCCAAGCCCAAATTACTTTCTAAAACAACTGATGCACTTGGCATGGAAATCAGTTTAAGTTAGCCTCTTATTATACACAGAGGTAGATTTTGAGAAAGAGGTAGGAAGGGAGGAAGGAAGGCAGGCTTGGCTCTGGAATTATCATGCAGTGGACTGGAGCAACTGAACTGATCTTGGGAACTGAGATGGCTCATATGGTCTTGGTGATTCAACTCCAGCCCACACAACTTAAGTGCCTAAGATTATCTGGTGGTAGAGCCAAGTGATTCATATGACTAGGAAGGCTTGGACAGGACACCTTGGTGACCACTGTCACCAAGTGACTCAGTCTTTGCCACTGTTGTATCACAAGGAATGGCTGGGCCCAGAAAGACACAGTCAGTTGGTTTGTTACTATGCCCTGCATTGCTTATAACAGTTTCAAGGTACTCAGGCACAGCTGCAATATATGTAAATACATACATATATATTCATAAATGTATCTAAGAGATACAAACTTTCTTGTTATAAGTTTAGCCCTGTTATAAATAGAAGTATAAAGTAGGAAGAAACTGCTCTACTTGGCAAGTTCTAAGTGTTGCCCATTTGTGTGGCTTTTCCACCGCCCTCTGCACCAGCCAGAAAGAACTACTAGAGGTTGCAGACTGGACTAAATGGAGTATTGGTCTAATCTGGCCATTAAGATTCCAGTCTCATATTACAAATTGTGGTTTTCAATTGTAAATACTGCTAATATTTTTAATTACTTTTTTCCATCCATTGTCCTTTAGTCTGTGTAATGCCAGATTTAGAGCATGTGGTTTGTCCTTCCAGCAAAAGAGAACTAGAAGATTTGTGTCTGGGAATAGTGTACACATTTGCTTTATTCCTGTAGCCCTGGAGCAGAGGTGGTGAACAGCCTGTAAGTATTCTCAGGGACTTCAGTCCAGGATTGGTCTAGATTTCCGTTTGAACTGACATCGATAAAAACCCACAACAAAACAGTGGTGCTTACAAGGCTCTCACTTTAGGTGTCTTGACTGTGTCCCAAACCTTGCAAAATCTCTGTGCCATATCACATCCTTCTGTGGCCAAACAAAAGAAAAACAAATTGAAAGACTGCATGTAGTGGGATCATCCATTGGCACATGCCATGACAATATAAATGTATCCTGTCTCTTGACATTGGTTATTCAATTTTTAACTAAGCATTAATACTCAGGACTTGCAATGCTTTCAATCCCTGTATATCAAAGCCCTTCTGTGAAATGAGCGATGCCGTGTAGGCTGCTAGAAGCCTAGAGATAACCCATTAAGATTTGGAAATAGTGGCTAATATCCTCACTGTAGATCAGAAAAGTGAAAAACCCTCAGCACAGCATACAGCTGGTTTGGTGTGAGCCCCAGAATGGCTTCCCTGGAGTAATGTAGTATGGAGTTCAAAAACACCTCTATGTGAATGTTGCAGTAACATAGAGCTGCCTTTGTAATCTAAATTCCCCACTTCTTAATATAGTCTCAAGCAGAATCTGTTGTTTGAATCTATAAGGCATAATATACCTGCCTGAGCACTTCTTATTGCTATCCCAGTACAGGCAATGAGGTCAGAGATTAAACACCACTCTGCTCCCCAACCTCTCCCATTTGTAACTGTGCAGTTTGTGTATTTATGGGCAGAGGATGCAGTGTCCCACTGTGGAGAGATCGGTGGGCAGCTGTTTCCACTGAACATGTGAGAAATCAATGACAAAATGAGGGTGCTGGTGGAGGCTGAGTCCCACCCTGCTGTAATAAACCCAGTCATCTTCTGTCTCTCCTGACCAAGCAAAAGCCCTTGACTTTTTGCTGCATGCTTTTGATTTCCCTTTTGCTTCTTCTTCCCCTCCAAACCACACTGTTTTCTCTTAGAATTGCTCACCCCCTCCTTCTCCAGCTGTTGTCCATGCTCAAAGTGATTAACTCTGCCCCTTTCTCTGTGCCTGTTCCTCTGAAGATTACTGTCTCATGCTTGGAGTGGATAATCCATCAAGCAAATGGCCTGCTGCCACCCAGGGGTCTGTTGCAGTCCTTTGGCACTGGTGCTGGGAGGTCTCTGACCGCACAGCCGGCGGAGCGTGGAGAAGGCGGCGCACCGGGAGCAAACCAGCACAGGCTGGAGTTCAGTGTTCCAGCCAGCATGTGCACACACAGAAGTCAGCACACATATGCACACTCATACTACCAGCTCCACAGCCTCAAATCCCAGAAGATGGCTGGAAGAGGAGCACAGGAATGAATTAGCTGTCAGGAGAAAACTTACCTGCTCTCACACTGCAGTGATCTCCATTACAAATTCTCCTTGCTAGGAGCCAGGTAGTTTTCAGATGACTTATGGAACCTGAATAGTGTTATTAGCTAAAGCAAATACAGAAGTGAGCTGGGGCTGAACATCATGCCCATGCTGAGCCCACATCCTCTGAGCACACAGGGTTCCCTGAGCCCTGTTCTTGCAATGTTCTAAGACTTTCCTGCCAGAGCTGGTGCTTCTACAGGAATGGTTGACAAACTCCTGGCCTGGTGATGCCATTGCAGACTTGGCTCTCCTCACAGCCTTACCAAAATGCCTCTAGCCTGACTGCTGTGCCTGTCTCAGCTGCCCAGGCTGAGCAGAGGTCTCAGTTACACCACTATTAAAGACTAAACTATTGGTATTTGAAGTGATCTAAACCAAACCCAACATCCCTCCACAACAAGGATAGTTCATTAGCAACATCAGCATCTTTACAATATATCCAAATCCACAGCCAAGTCTCCTTCAGCCTGGAGAGGTAAACCAAGCATAAGATAAACATCACTGCAGAGTGGGCTAAGAAGGAAGGGTGCAGTAAGAAAAGCAACAGGGAAGTGACTCAGCACATGGGTCTGCCATGCAGACTGCTTTGGGCAGGTGGGCACAGCCCTACCAGCTTCATGCAGCTAAGATGGGGCAACATCTGCCTTGCAGCTAAAGCAGGGAGCCAAGGGAAGCTGTGCCCCGTGCTGTCAGTCCCTCCTTGTGCCTTGTTTTCTGTGCCCATAGCACCAGCCAGCAGTGCCATGAAGTGATAGCACACAGGCTTCCAGTGTAGCAGAAACTTCAGAGAAATCAGGCTCAGAAAACCAGTTGCAAGTAGAACAAATATGCAAGAAGAGAAGCAAAGTGCAAGACACAACTTTTTGATGGGAGTGGGGCTAAGCTGTCCAGGCTGCTGGCAGAGTGAATGGGCATCTAGCTGATATAATAAGCCATTTAAGACATCCATTTTCCTCTACTTTTCACCATTTTTTCTCTCTTTTTTCCTTTGTGTTTCCCTTATTAGTAATTTTTTTAGGGGCAGACAGCTTATCCCATCAAGCTGCCCTGAGAGGAGGGACTGGGCTGCCTGAACCTTTACAAGTTTCCTACTGACAAGCATCTATTCAAACCTTTCTCCAGTTTCAACCAAGAGAGGCATACAGAACCCAGAGATAATTAAAATCTTTTAAATGTAATGAAAATAGGTAGGTGGAGAGGGGAGAGAGGACTCTCTGAGAACCCCCACTGCGAGAGACTGCAGTGCAAGCTAAAATACCAAGTACCAGCAAACCTTCGTAGAAGAAATCCCACAACTACTGCAGGCCATAGAAAAAACCACATTTAATTTGCCTCTGCACTCAGAAGGGCACTTGCAGCTAGACATGGAACAGGGAGTCAGCAGGCAATGGAAGCAAGCACAGCCCATAATGGTTGGATCAGCAGCAGATCTCTGTTTCTGTGGCCTCTCTGCAGACACTAGGCACAGCATCTGGGAGCAGATGCATCCATTGCACCCAGTCTATCATGAGGGTTCTCTTCCTGGCATCATCGGCCAGCCCTGAACTGTGCATTCATGGCTGGGACTGCCAAAGTGTTTGAAAGGCCCCTCCACCTCTCACAAAGGAAAGAGCATTCTCATCCCTCTTTACATCTGTCCCAAGGAGACTGTATCCTCTATGCTAACAACGCTGGGCCAGCTTCCTAATGAAGCCACGCTGTGCCGCTAATGCTCCCACATCCTCTAGGCAGTGCGAGGCCAATGAGTCTGCTCTCTATGCAAGTCTTCCCACACCCTCTCTGCAAAGAAGCTCATGCCAGGTCACAGCCTGACTCCACCGCTGACTCTGCTGGCACAGGAGTGCCCAACAGTGCCTTCAGAAGTTGCTGAACAATACGAAGCAGGCTTAATGATGGATGTGACTCTTGCATGCTCCCTGTGGATTTTCTCTACTCTGCTTGGGAGATCCCATTTCCCCTCTGAAGGAAGTAGGCAGCAAATGGAAGGGCATTATCCCTCCTATTTGCACCAAAACTTTGGCAGAGACAGCACATAAAAAATGGAAAGAGCCGTATACCATCCTCTTTTAAAAACAGAAGGGCTAGGATGCTTTCCAAGCTTAGAGACAAACTTCAGGCCAAGGCTGACATTTCAGGGATCATTGCCAGTTAACTTAATAAATAAAATTCTCTTCTTCAGCCATGTTCTGTGCATGCTGGAGAGGAGCTAGATTGTTTTCCTGCCCCAGTTTTGGATAATAATTTTTGCTGCATTCACTCAGAGACATCTGTCTGTTTTCATGCCTGCAGCGTAAGCTGGTGAAGTTGCATCTGCTAAGGAGCCTCTCAACTCCCTATCCTGGGGGCTATTTCAGGGCAAAAGTATCCATTAACTGCTTACTCTGAAGCACACATTTGACAAAAGCATGAGCAAAAAATATGAGGCTCAAGCTCCGTATATAAGTCATTGGCTATGGCTGTGCCTGGAAAGACAGTGAGGGAGTGGTTGGTAGCAGAGTGGAGAGGATGCATGGGCTCCCCAGCCCCGAGCCTGTGCCGTGGCCTGGGCAGTAGGACTTGCTCCTGGGCATCCCAAGGCAACCAAAACTTGCAGCATGCACAGTGCCCCCAGACAGTCACCGTTCCCAAGGGCAGCCAGACTCTCATGGCAGCTCTGCCCACCTCTCACTAGCCCTGGGGGGACACTGCTTCAAACACTCACAGTCCTGCAGACCTGAATCCACATCACATCGCCCTCCTCTCACTGCACCTGAGGCCCAAGCAGTGCTCCCCCACCTCACAAAGGGATGTGTCACCAGCCACAACTTAAAAGATGCTGAATAAAATAGCAGCGAGTTCCAAAACCTATGATAAAAAGAGAAAGGGTGAAAGAGAGGGTTGGGTGTGGTCTGTTTAGGGGGAATGAATGACTGGAAACAAACCCCAGATCCCTAAAAGCTCAGAGAAAACAGGAACAAAAAGTGTAAGAAAACCACATAAGCAGGGGGAGGCAGTGAGGAGAAGAGCTCTTGGTATTGATGTTTGAAACGGTCTCTTTAAAATGGAAGATAATGACACTGAAAATTATTCTGAGCTTTTCAAAGGCATAAATGACCAAACTGCCTCCTGACTCCTGAATTACATTATCCAGAAAGAACTTAATAGCATGTTATTATCGCTTCTCCTCGCTGACAGGATTTCGGCACTGAAAAGACAAACAAGAAGTGCATTCATAATCACAACCGCATTCACCTCTGCGATGCACTGGCCACGGCTAATTTCAGGTAAGTGTCTCAGCAGCCAGCCGGGGAGCTCAGCGGTGAGGTAATTGCCTTTGTCACTACCTGAGAGAGAGCAGCTGGGTGTCCCCAGAGGCAGCCAGCACCAAAACCCTGCTTTATGGGGAAGAGGGGCATGCCCTGGACTGGCTGATGGCAGCTGATGGGGACCTACCTCCGTGAGGCTGGCTCCAGTGGGTCATGGTGTGTCCCATCCTGGCAGGTACCTGTGAGGGGCCCAAGGCTGTGTGGATGGCAATGGGTCCCTGTGTCTGCTGCAGATGTGACACTGCTGGCCTGATGGGAGCTTGTGAGAAAAGCAGCAAGACAATAACAGGGGATATAGGGATATGTGAGGGGTGGGGAGTGTGAGTAAACAATATGGCCTGAGCTGTCCAGAGATAGCCCCAACACTTGGCATTTGTTACATTGTTAGTTTTCATGACCAGCAGCCCTGAAGGAGACAAAAGTGTTGCTGATTTCCAGAGCAGGGCAGTTTGGTCAGCCTCTCTCCCTATTCCCCTACCTTTGCTACCCCATCCCCATGCCTCAATTGAGAGGTCAGAAGGCAACTTGGTCATATTGTGCTCCCTGCCAACACTCATGCCCTGGCAATGTCCTGGAGGGGCCTGCGAATCATCCTGGTGTAAGCTGGGAGTCACCCTGGTGTCACATGACACCACTGTGCCACTGCCTGACAGCAGTTTGCTTTGGGCTATTCCCAAGGCTTTTTTTTTTACATCTTTCTTGTGCTCTGCCAAGGTGTGCCACTGCAATACAAAGCACCTCTCTCCCAGGGGGTGCTCCATCTTCTTCTGAAACCTCCCCCAGTGGCCAGAGACTGCGCTGGCTGCAGCTAAGGCAAGGCAGCATGGGAGCTCAGCCCAGAGGGAAAGCAACAAGAAAGGGAAAAAGGCAGAGAGCTGTGTCTGGCTCTGCTGAGCCACCACTGCCATAGATGCATTTGCACAGACACAGATCATGACCCAGCCCAGCAGGATCTCTGTGCAAAAGACCATCCCTGCTATGGCACTGATGCAACAAGGCCAAGCTAAATGCCAGGGGCAGCCTTCACACAGCACTGTGCCCATGATTTATGTCCCAGGTTTAAGAGCATTTCATTTCAGCAGCCATACTCTGACATCTGCAGGCCCCTGAGCCAGTGAAGAAGGCAACTGCAGTGGTACCAGGCAGCTCTGTGCTACTCATGTAGTTGTGATTTTTTTCCCCCACAGCACAGTATGGCAAATAATCCTTCCCCACTCCCAGCAGAAGACAGGCTGTGGAGAGAGCTTATGCAGTGCACCCAGAGCCATCCATGTCATCAGGGTAGGACTCCCCAGCCCAGATTTTGCAGAAGGCTCCAGGGTAGGGGCCATAGGAGCACCTGCTCCCATAGCAAAATTTGGGTGCTGCCAATGCCCATGTCACAGGAGCACCCAAGCAGCTTTGCAACCCTGTACCCCTCCCATGGAGACACCTCTACAGGATCCATTTTTTGTGCAGCCACTGCCTGGCAGAGACAGCAAACACAGCAACCAAAGGAAACCATGGGAAGAAGACCTTGGACACAGCTCCCTTGAGTAAGACTATGGAGCAGTCTCAAAAATGAAGGAGTTCCATCAACCACATAACCTGGACAGGATGAAGACTGAAGAGCAAACTGCAGGAAACAGCCCTCAGCCAGCAAGGGCTGCAAAGGCAACCTGACACAGCCTGAGCAGCTCTCCATCACATTCACTAGCTTCAGGAACTCTCATTCCCTGGGAACATAATTGAACAGCCAAGTATGGTTTTTCCAGGGTAAGACTCTTCTCCCCTAAAATTGACTGTTCAGCCTGTTGTGCAAAGTCATCAGCGATACCACACTTAGCTGACTCCTGCACCACATCTGTATGTGTTCCTCCCTTTGTCTTCCTCTGCTGCTCTCCCCAGTCCACACCAATGTGCTTTAGGCTCATTGATACCCCAAAGTAAAGTCCTCAGTTCGCATCACCTCATTGCTTAGGTCTCCAAACCAGCTGTTGCAGAACAGCTATTTGCCTACTGACCTTTTGCTCACAGATACTACAGTTACAGGCTTGCCCTGCTCCAGTTAAACTGATGACACAGAGAAGCTACTGCAGTCCCAGCACATACTGGGTGCAGCGCAGGCTGCCATGGGACTCACTGCCCTGTGATGTATGCATCTCATATTGCCAAGTTTTCCTTTTAGCCTTATCAGCATGATGGCCTTGGTGAAGTACAAGGCAGCAATAACAATGCCCCCCCATGACTTTTGTTTTTGCCACATTTTCATGAAGAGCAATATGGTATTACCAGGCTTCATGCATGTCACTTTATTTATTAGCTACCATTTAGTAACCTCTTCCATCTTTGCTTTATTGAAGCTAGATGTACTGCTAGGCTGAGGGTTGAAAGGAGAGAAAGGGCTCATGGTACAGCCACCCTGAGGAGATGCTTGCTTGTGTACATCAGTGCTGAGCCTGAAGCTGCAAGCCTGCAAACCACCACCAGCTAATGTGCATTTTACATGAAGACTTGTCCTGCTAGGTCAGGCCCAAGTCCTGTGACCTTCTTAGCAGAGCTTCAGTTACAGGAAGAGACCTTATGAGTGTTTTTTATACTCATGTGTATCAGAGTATGGAAAAGTAGCCTCAGCAAATAAGACTCTGAATCAAATGGAAATAAAAAAAAAGTAAAACAAAACAATAGAATAGTAAAATGCCATGCCTCCTCCCTACTCGACTGTTCATGCAGTCTAGGTGAACAGTCTTTACCAGACCACCAGAAGTCATGAGTACCTGGTTACAGTAAGCAGCTCAAAAGGGAAGCTGTGCACAGAGCATCCAGAGTTCTGATATCGTGGCTGATCTGGAGTGACATGGAGAATGGCACAGAATTATGCTCTCTGGGTCACACAAGTCAGCCCAAAAAGGTTGGTAGCATTTGACAAGGTCACCATGAGCTGCACAGGGTCAGCAGAAGGTGTGTGGATAAGAGTATGGTCAATGTCCTGCCCAGGGCTCCCTCAGGCACTGCTGTGGATGGACACACAGCCATGTTCCCTGCAGGGAACAGAGGCACTGATCACTACCCCAACAGGTGTAGCTTCAAATACCTGTCAGGGAAACTTCAAACTGTCTTGATGGGACCTGATTACCATCATACAGAGAACACTGAGCATCCTTCCCACTCAGTAAGCCTTCTGCTGGATGTGCATATAATTTACTCCCTCCGGGTTTAAACTCTATTTAAAGCCTGCATTAGCGACAACAGGGTCCTGTGAAGGCACCCACTGCCTTCCAGAAGGCACTGGACATGCAGGTTTTGCCCAGGAAAGAAGGACACAAGAGGCAGCTGGCTGATAAAAACTGCAAGGCAAGTAATGTAGGCTGGCATTCGCTCACCCACAGCTCCACAACTGAACCAAACAAAACCAGTTGGTAAGCCTGGACTTCAAAGCAAAGACAAGACCTGGTCAGGGATGTTATCTCATGTCTGAGCACAGACAGTGACACAGAAGGAGAGCTGAAAAAGCTGAAACTCAGATCCAACCTCATCCCACAGCACTGACTCAATGGCCATGTGAGCCAGCTCCACGCCATGGCTTCACCAACAGGCTGGCTGGGAGGGCCCACTGGGCATCTCACTCCTCTTCTGCCCTGAGGGAGACTCCAGCCAGCAGACCAGCTGAGCCACTCTGCTGGCCAGCCAGGATGGAGACCCTTTCTGGGTGAGATGTCCTGGCTTTGCACCATCCTCCTGGTGAAGTTCATTGGTAACTTTGCAAACTCTGACTTGTGGCCATCAGCCCTTGTTTACTCATTGGTACTGCCAGAAGATTGGCTCTTTCAGAGCCTCCAGCCATTATCAGTTCATCCCTTTACTTCTTCCTTCCAGGATTGAACAAGTCCATCTCCCTTATAGGCTATAGGAATAGGTCCTGACCATGTCATGTGCCCTCCAGCAGACCAAATACAGTTCTCCAACATCTGTCTTCAACCGAGAGAACAAAGAGGACATAGTTTCAGGTGTGGACTCAGTAGCACCAAGCAGAAGAGGAGAACAATTAGCCCTGGACATGATTTCCACTGTCAGTTCGTGTCCACATGGGGTCCCCTGTAACCCCTTCCTGCAGGGCTGCTAGTCCACTAGTAGGTTTTCCTAGTTCTAGTGGTACCTCATAGAGTAACATGTGAGGTATGTCACCATCACCTGTATGATTTTTGAAAATGGTAATTTTTCTCAGGCAGATAATTAATTAATTAAATTACAGACTCTTACTGTCCAGGTCTTTTACAGTCCTGGCCAGCACCTGAGCAGATGGCGTAGGAAGAAGGATGACCCACATCCTGCAGGCACCTCAGCGGGGCTGATTGACAGCCAGTCCTTCCCTTTCCCTTCCCTCTCCTTTCCTTTTTTCATCCCTCTCTCTGCTCCCATCTGAATGCTGGGCATTGTGGCCCAGCCCACTGTGTGTGACAGCTTCTTGCATGCTCCAGGACCCAGCAGGCTGCCCACACCCCTCTGGATGCAGGGTACAGGGGCAGATGGAATAGTAGAGGGGGATGCAGGGATGCACAGTGGAGGTGGGGGAAGAGCCCTGCCAAGTGATGCTCTGGAAGAGGGAGTCATTGGGAATGACTTTGACACTGGCCAAGCTGCACTCAAGTCACAGTTCATAAGACATATGCTGTGGGAAGCAGCATGTGAATAATTCTGAAGCTTCTACACTGCAACTGCATGAGGTTTGTACACCTCTGCAAGATGGCAGACAGCACCATGCTGCCTTGATCTGCAAATCTAAATGCCACCCACCTGTCATCATTAGCATTCACTAGATGGGCTAGGCAAAGGCTATGCTGCCCAGCCTGGACTAATGCTCTCTCTTGCTTTCCTTCAGCTGGATGTGCAAAAGCACGTTCGCTTCATACGCGAGATTCTTGGAAGTTTTGCACAGCAACTTCGTTTTCCCTGACTGCCCCATTTTCCACCTCCAGCAGATGTAATGATGGCACATCTAAATGCCAGATTAAATATCTACTGGTTTCCCAACACATCTGAGAGCACTGACAGCATCAGGATTGGTGATGCCATAAGGCTACAACAAAATACTTCATATTGCAGGAGCTGAAAGATGCCCATCAGTTTTGCACCTCTGGCCACAGCTCTAACCCCCATGTTAGTCCTGAGGAAGAGTGGGTGAGCTGCAAGGCTAACATTTAGGGTCTGCACCAAACTTCAGTTCACTCATAGCTGAAGCTGGGCAGACAGCAGCCCATGTGCTGCCTGTAAGCAAAGCAGCAGAATCTGTGTTTGCTGGTGGTGAAAACACCATTAAATGCAGGTGGGAACGAGGGGCCACATGTACAGACCTGGTCCAGGTTACTCATGTTTGGCAACTGCAAATTGGGATGAGAAAGTGTCTTTTCAAAATCCTGTTAACACATTCACCTCTGAGAGCTTTCAGCAAAAAGACAAGGCAGGAATGTTACAGGGTCGAACACCATGTGTTTGCTTGTTCTTTCTTAAGACAAACCTTCATTGACTGACTGTGGGAAGAGTGAGAGCTGAGCACAACTGATGGAGGAGTCCCTCTGCTAACATTGCAACGCAGAGCTTCCCAGCAGAGACTAATTACAACAGACAAAGCCCTGCCAAATATACCCTGTTCTCTGCCTGCTGCACAAAGCCAGAAACAGTCTGAGGGGCTGCTGGTTCCCTACCACTTTTAGAGTCAGGACTCTCCTCAGGTAGCAGAACTAGCAGTCATGTGGTGGGATTTTGAAGAGTGAAAGAACATGCATGGCTGAGGGCAGCTGTGATCTTGACAGCCAATGTAAATGACAGCTACAGGGAGCCTCTCCACAACATGGGATCCTCTAGAAATGAGGGCCTAAATGTGGGATGAGCTTTACCGACAGATGCAAAACCCAAACAGTGCTCTGGTCAGTATATCCAGCCACGAACAGGCAAAGGCATTTGCAGAGGCAGCTACAAGGTGAGGCTGTGAAATTGGTGACCATTACTAGAGGGTTTCTGGGACTTCAACAAGGCACACCAGGCCAGCTTTCTGAAAGGAGCTCTACTTGTGATAAGAACAAGTCAGGTCCACCCATGCTGGCCAGCCTACCAGCTGTAAGTACCTGAGCAAGGCACAGATTCAGCCAGACTGCTCACATGAGCCAAGATTAGTCATGTACAGGCTGCAGCATCAGTATTCCAGGGCCCCAGTGACTCTTTGTCAACTCAGGAGTCTCATCCTGCAATTACCACCACTCCATTCCCTGATGCCATGATATCACCCAGAAGTCAAGGGGATCTCTGACCTGTCATTGCAGGGGTTGGAGACGAGCTTTGCAAGGACATTTGGTCACACTGGGTTTCTCTTTTGATCTTAGCAAAGATCAGAGAGCACATCACTCCTGCTGCCGCCCCCAAAGCAGGAAGGGCTCAGAGAGCTAATGCCAGGATCAGGTGACTGACTACCCAAAGAGACCTAAAACCCACATTCAGCAATACCTTGTCTAGAACCCTGCCAATCACACACCACTTCTTGGCAGTCCTGAGCCGGCCAGTTCTGCCTACATGCTTGTGCATGTCCACAGCCACTGTCTGCACATCTGCAGCCCCTAACCCACATGCCCAAGCCCACCAGCAGCCAGGTACCTTTTCTGGATTACTTTCCTTCCCTTTCCTGCACAGCCACCAAGATGATTGATTTGCCAGGGACTCACACACACGCACACACACACACACTTACCTGCACTCTGTCCCCTGCTCCCCTTCCCAAGCAAATAAACTCACTTCAAGGTGGGGTCTCACACCTGTGCAAGTTGGAAAATTGTATGGAAACTGGGAGAGTGAATGGCCTTCTTGTGGCTTGCTCTCAGACAGTTTGGTGTAACCCTCAGTTTAGCAAGCTTTCTGACAGTACATGAACATTCCCATCCTGTCCTTCACATCCCCTTTCACCAAGATAGTTTGAGAAAAGCTGAGATGATGTAAGCAGCCACCTCCATCCACCTTTCCTGGCTAAAGGAATTCTTACAAGCAGCAGAGCTGTATCCCAGTATCTCAATTACATCTCACATAAAGCAGACATCTAAGTGAGACTTCCTGTAGAAAAAACTGCAGAATCAAAGCCATCAGACATGTCACTTGCACCACTGAGCAAATGGCAGGTTTTTGTCTGGGCCAGAGCAGTAAAACGTCACAGGCAGTGACAAGGTGAAATGCTCACTGTGCCATGGGAATGGTGACATCTCACAGATGTGCTGCAGTGCACTCCCACAGGCAGGGAGCAGGCAGGCTCAGTGTGGATCTGGGAAGGGTTTGAGGTGTCCTCCCAGCAGAAATGCTCCTGCATTCCACCCCAACACACATGTGATGCAGTGCCAGAGGACTCAGATGCGGCACAAACTTCTTGGACAGAGAAAAGACCAAGTGGACATTTTGCTTACAAGGAGTTGCCGGCACTGCCTGGCATCACTCCCTTGTGGAGAAATGGAAACGGGACTTAGGTTAGAGACCCAAACATAACTCTAGTGCACAGCCAAGCATCCCTCCCCCAAAGGTCTTCGATACAACACATTTATTTTGTCGTGTGGAAGTATTGTACAGTACATATACATTACCAGCAGTTTAGAGCACTGAGCTGTCATTCCTACTGCCTTCCTGGAATTTCCGAAGAGGGGCAAGATCACTGTCCCCTTCTCCCATTTCACCTGCAAAGAAACAGGCCAGGAGAAGTCCAAAAACAGAGGCACTTGCTGACAGGACTGGAGAGGAACCTTAGAAACTTGGACTCCCAGTCCACCACTCTCACCATTTGAGTCCTCTTTCCCTGGAGCTAGAAAAGAAAACCCTAGTGACAGCTTTCCACAAGGTCTCACTCCTCTGAGAAACCTTCTGCACACCTAAACAGAAATCAGACTAAGGAGATTGCACAAACTAATATAAACCCTATTGCATTTTAAAGGGACTTACCACCTCTGAGGGTCTGAGAAATGTTTTGGGGCATTCTAGGTAGGGCTGGGATTCTCTTAAATTCTTTAAGATTGTTTAAGAAAGAGTCAAAGAGGCATTTGCTTCCAGCACAATCCCACTAGAATCTGAGTGGAACTTAACTTGCACAAATGAGGAAAGAAGGTATCCTTACCTGTCTTTCCTGGCACAAGGTATCATGCACCTACTTTTCCTAAACCACAAAACAATAGGGCTCTGGTACCAACTCAACCTCTCTGTGCCACAGAGGAAGCTAATGCTGTAAAAGAAAAGGACAGTGCAGTGTGTAATGTGGAGTAAGACCCAAAAATAGACAGAAATAGTCAGAAAGACAAATGTGCCATGGAGAGCAGAAGGGAGGGAGGGAGCACCCAGGCCTCTCCCACCAGTTCATGTCAGTATGTGAAATGTTGCATCCGTCTCAGGAGAGCAATGACCCAGTTCCCCAGCTGGGACCCCTTCAGCCACAGAAAGAGTTCATATAAGTTGATCTGCCACAGGCTTAGGGCTTCTGTGAGTGAGATCTGGGCCCTCCTGTAAAGCGAGTGACTCTTGCTCCTCTGGTACCTAGAATGAGAGAAACAGCTGCATTAGATCCAGCAGGAAACAGCCCAGGAGGCAGAAGGCCTGTCCTACATCTTCTGCACAACTGACGCTCCCCAGGGGTGGCAATATCCCCCATCTGGAGAATTCCCAGGGAGCAGGGATGTTCTCTAAGCAGTGCTTCTGAGGAGCTGGGGACCACCTTTCTTAGAATGAAACTGGCAGAAGAGACAGCCTGCTCCCTTGAGAACTCAGTTCTCTTCCCACTGTGTGTAGTGATCCTGGGACATGGCATTCCTCTGCTTCTATGCCAGCTTCACCTCAGCTCACAGAGACAGGTGCACACTCCTATTGCTTTTCCTGGACACTTTTAAGAGTCCAGCAATCCTGACACACAGACTCCAGGAAAAGTATTTCTTCACCTTTCTTTAACAGGGGCTAATTGGGATTCATAGGTCCCTCATCAACCCAAGAAATAACTGTTATTTCATCTACAAGGAGGAAGAATCTGAGGCAGAAGTGCATTGATTCATAAGACTCACAGAGGGAAATCACTTGCACAACTCCTGTGCCTGGCTTTTAAACATCACCCTGATCTTCAGTCAGCCCAAGCCCCTCAATCAGGCTGCAGTGAACTTTCAGATCTATGCTACTCACAAATACTGCCTAGTGGCAATGCCTATAATGGGCAAGAAGCCCCTTCTCCTCCTCTGGGGGGAAAAATCCTAAACCCTTAACTTAAGGCCTCCGACTCTAACCCCGTCTCCAGCCCCAGGGTGACAGGTTTGTCCTCTGGAGAGGGTGATGGGTGTAAGAACAGCACAGACAGAGGCTGAGATGTGTAACTGAGCAGGGGTAGGACCACAATGAGAGGAAGAGATCCACAGCTAACAATAATAGGTCAAGAGGCTGAGTCAGAGCCTTGTCAGGCTCCCTGAGTGAGGCCCTAATAAGCCTTAATGGCCCTGACTAGCCTGGAACCCCCAGCCCTCTGCCCATAGGCCCAGGAACTTCAGGTAATCTCAGACCTGCACCTTCAGTTCCTGCCTGAGCTACACTGGAAGAGTAATGGTCCTCAGCTCATGCCCTGCTGTGAAGCCCCATGGCCTGGACCTCAACTCACATATTGACCTCTTCACTTGACCTCAGCCCTGTCTGGTCACCATCGACCTGCGTGACAACCACCAGACATGATCTACAAACGGAGTTTCTGGTTTGTTCTTAGAGCTGCACCATCACAAGGATTCTGCCTTATGTGAACTTTTGATTGGATCCAACCACCATCTCAGGATCTGTCCTGCAGCTCCTTGTCTGGCCTCTGATGCCTGGCTAAGAGACTCACGTGGAAACAGCTCTGATGCAGCAGCGAGACATGTTGAGGAAGGAGCTGGCACTGGCCCGCGTGTGCAGGGCTGACTCAATCCCCCTTAACAAGTCGTTGGTCTTCAGCAGCAGCAGCATCTGGCGGGGAACGTTGTTGAGGAGCTGGGTGATCTGGGGCAAGTAAGCAGCAGCGTTGGACCGGATCTCCATGTCCTGTGGCCAGCCAGGTCATGGCAGGGAGAAAGGAGAGAGAAGGTGAGAGTACATGGCAAATTCAGGTCCAGATGCAGCTGAGATTGGCCAGGAAGAGAACAGTGTTTTAACAGACCATGACAGTAGGCCAGAAGCTGCAGAGCTCTGTCCTGCTTTCCTGCAGACACTGGGCACAGCACTCATAGCACAGATCACTCTTGCCACATTCCATCTGCTCCTCAGTGAGGTATGGACCCATCCTCTCACTGGCAGGATTAATAGCCTCTCAGGAGAACAGCCACTCACTGCTGTCTTGGTTCTTAGTCCTAGGCAGCCTGCAGCAACCAGACCTCAACACTGCCCTTGGAAACTTCTCACCTCACCAGCCCCAAAACTGGCAGAGTTGAGGTAGCAGAATTGCTCAAGAAGGTGGAGGCATGCTGCAAAGACAACCAAGCTGCTTGCTCTTCACTGCCCCATGCAACTCATGGCTCTATGTTATATTGATGAAGCCGTTTCCAAGGCCTAGTTTAGTCCTCTGTCCTCAACACAATTCAGCAGAGGTGAGAAAAAAATTATGCAGTTAAGCACCATGTTAACCCAAGAGATAAAAATCATCAAATTGTCATCTGTCAGATCTAGATTTATATCCTGTATGACAGCAGCCAGTAGCAGATAATTAAGGAAAGAGTGTAAGTTCAAGGCAATCCATTTTCTCTCGTTCTCCAGATTCCAACAAACACATTGCCTACTGAAAGAACTCAATGATAACCTAGGGACTACAGCCTGAGCCATTTAAGATGAGCTCCTCTCCAAATACAAGCCACCACAGCATGCAAGACAGTCAGCCATGCCTCTTCTCCATGTTTTTAGATCTGAGAGCTCCCTCACCATCCCAGCAAATATAGCACAGTGTAGCTGGGAGCTGATCCTATATGCATACCTCGTCCCCACCTCTTCCTACAGAGGCCATGACATGAATCATGACATGAAATCCAAAACCAAATCTCTGGGACATCTGAAATCTACAAAATCCAGGAGGACAGTAAATAACTTCATACAGGAAGGAGGCTCCTTTGTGGAAAATGACAGCTCTAATGCCTTCTCTTCTCTGGAATGAGGGATGGCCTATATTGCATGACATGGGATCTCACGCTCTTTGTGAACTTCAAACTTATTATAAAGTAACAGACCTGCACAAACTGGGTGTGTGGGTCATGATGGTCAGTGATGTACATAGCTCACACACCACCATGGTTGCTGCTGACAAACCAATCTTTGTGTCCTCCTGCCTCCATCACTAACCAGATACACAAGGCTTCAGCAAGAAGATGCTTAGCTCTCCTAAATGTTGTTTTGTTCCATTATTTTTTGGCAGAGAATTCCTCCCTGATTATCTCTTATGCCTTTCGCCAGCCAGCATCATTGCAGAGCTTACATTATTTTCCAGACATAGGTTTTCTTTTCTATTTCTTTTATTTTTAGCTCCAGCTGCTTGTCCACATCACAAAACAACCACATGATCAGTCATCAGAACTGTCACTTTCTGTCAAGGGCAAAACTTGTGTGCAGAGGAAGAAATAAGCTAAGCCACAGGACCTGAGAAAAGCCCCTTGGCTGCAGCTGCTGAGGCTGCTGCAGGATGCAGCAAAAGACATCATTAAATCAGATGAGATGAAGCTAGCAGCCACCCTGAGCAATCAGCTGCCTGGCCCTGGCTTAAGGCAGGAAAAACCATACCTATGGCAATCCTCTTACATTTGCCCAGCCTGCACCTAAATTCTCCAGTAACATGAATCAAAACCTTCCCAGACCATCTACACTGGCATTTCACTGCTTTGTCACTAGATCTGGCTTTTCTCATGTTTAGCTGAATTTAAATCCACGACTGCTTGTCCTCTAAGTGCTGCAAGAAAATTGCTTATGAAAATCACTTCTACAATTCTTCCTGACCTGCCTTTTCCAGATTTTTTTCTGACCTAATTTGCTCAGACCTACCTCATGGGTTGCATCTGCTTGGCCACTAGTCCTTGTAGATTCCTACTGGACTTGCCCCAGTTGCATCAAACCTTTCTTGAGATGCAGTGTCCCAGACTGAGTACAGCACTACAGATAAGATTTTATTTCAGGAAGGTTGTTTCCTTGTCTCACAGGCTATTGTCATGTTGATACATCCTCAGGCACACTCTCTGGAGCTCTGCACTGATGGTACCTGCCTACACAGTGCTCAGCTCTTGCTGCTGATAAAATCTTTCAAATTCACCTCTAAAGTAAGGGCAAGCAGCAGCTCATTTCCTAATGCCACAGCAAATCTGCTCAGCTCCCCATTATCTGCTGCAGGATTATCTAGTTTCAGCATTAATTGTGTCATGTAGGCAAAGACAACAGAGCTGGTTCCATACACGCAATTCAACTCAATGACAAAGTTCATTAGCACACACAGGGTACCATGTAGCTGCAGCTACACCTCTGGTGTAACCTTCACAAGCAAGTTGGGAATAAACATTGCTCACTAACTCAGATTCAACACTGGCCTTGTAGTATTGGAGTCAATGCTGTGCCAATTTGCCTGGGTACCTCTGAATTTTCTTCTGGAGCTACCAGCTCCAGAACTCACCAGATCGAGCACAGATCTGTTAGATAGTCATTATATTATTCCTGACGTGCAGAAAATTAACTCAGGTATTTGGGAGGGAGGGGCTCCATTACCCAAGATATCTGAACAACTCATTGTTATGGATAATGGCAAGCCAGTACAGCAAATTCTGCCACATGCATCAAAATGAAGGAACTTTTGGAGGAGAATTTCATAGGACAGTATTATAACACTACTTAAATGAATTTCATCCACTCTACTACAGATGTGTGCAGATAAAAGCAAACCATAGGATACAACACACTTCTACTTAGAGACACTTGTCCATTGGCTGAATCACATTACTTCATGGTCTTCTCTAGAAAGAGCACATTGGCAGGGCTGCTGCTATTCTTAAGGTGGGGTATTGTGTGTATCAGGTGTGCAAGGAGGCATGAGAAGGATCCCAGCACGTGTGGATACGAAACGGTGGAAAATGTAAGTGGCAATTTCCCAGATTTGTAGTGATTGAGTTGACAGGATCTGCAGTTAAGCAACCTTGACTCCAAGTTAATAGGGTTTTTGATTGGGAGGTAATTTCTAGGGTTTTTTAGAAGTTTATATCAGCGCTGATAGTCATTTACATGAATAGTGACAATGCATTATCCTTCTCATGTCTTCCCACTAAACCTTTATATCTCCTGTACCTTATCCTAGCCTCCTTGATGGTTTCCTGCACAGCTGCATTCAACACTTTTTTAAGAAAAGGACAATCCACTAATATTTCCCCAGCCAGAAATGGTGAATACTTAGGTATTAAAATATTATACAGAATTTAAGCAGCCCATGACAAGTGAATCTGAGAAATTAAATTCAGCCACTATAAAACATATTGCATATTCCAGAAGGAGTTCTGGCTCTTTTCTAGATCAGCTATCACTGCAGAAATTGCTACAGAGCTGCCAGGGATTGCCCAGGACTGCCAAACTATCAGTGTGCAAGTGATTTCACCATAGAAAAGTACAGAGGAGAAGCAAGGGCACACGTTAGGGAAGGACACACAAGACCTACCTCGCTGGCAGAGACTGGTGACTGGTCAATGCCCCTGTTGACAGATTCCCAAGATCTGGCAGTCAGCATGCAGGCAAAGAGAGGATACAAATCCCCTGCCCCAAGCCGCCGGCTGTACTTCTGCACCCTCTTCATATCGGCCTTGATGAGGGCCTGCCAAAGGCGGCAGTAGTCCATGCGGAATGACTCGCTCAGCACCTGGCAATAGAGACACGGTTCCCAGAAGCCCACAGAGGACAGGAAACAGGAAAAAAGTCTTCCATCCCTTACCTCTGCCCTATTCTCCACTTCAGAGTCATAAAATACCATTAGAGCATTATGGAAGTATTAGGAAAAACTTATTCACATGTGCTTAGAGGGGCAAGGCTGCAGCCTGATGCCCAAAGACAGCTTCACAAGGCCCTGGAAGCAAGCCACTCATACCTACATACCTGGTAGAGCCCATGATCCAGGAGGATAATGTGAGCTTTGCCAGAGACTGGGCACTTCTTCACTAGCACATTGCCTGGGTGTGGGTCACAGTGCACAAAGCCATTCACAAAGATCATTTCACTGTAGAGCTTCCCCAAGTTGCGAGAGATCTGTGAGGAGACAAGAGATGGTCACACGCTGCCACCCACAGTAGGGTGCCTGCACAGGTTATTTAAAGCCACTTGTCTAGCACAAAAAAAAGAGATAGTACCTGTGGGTAGGAATGGGGTTTCTGGTAATGAGAAGGAAAGTGGGACAGCAGAGAGTGGCAGACATGCATTCACAGGGAAGGCAGGGAAATTGCTGCTGGGTGGGTGAGACTGCTTGGAGGAAGACTCAGGTGCTTCCACTCATGGATGGCAGCAGGACACGGTGAAGAAGGGGTGAGAGGAGACTCAGCTAGTCAGTCTGCCCACCAGAATGAACATGGGCTCCCTCTCCCCTCCCTCCATTCTCTCCATCACACTGTCCCCCATTTTGCCTCTTCCGTTCCTCAGACCCATGCTAATCTGATTTGCAATATCTGTGAAGATGAAGAAGCAGAGAAAAGCTGTTTAAAACATCCTATCAGTGCTGTGTCCCTCATACTATTGCTCCTTATCACCAAGAGATGTTATTAAAGTTAAAAACCTCCTAGGAGAAAGAAAACATCCCCAGGGCATGAGATCAGTCCCTTGCCATGCACTAACACAGCAGCCTTGCCCTGCCATCCCTCCACCAGCTCTCCCTACTATCCCAAGAGGCACAGTGCTCCACAGCAGAGTGCTGAACAAGCAATTAAAAGACAGTTGTTATAAATTATTCTAAGCATATCTCCAGACACACTCTGTAAGCAGCAAACTGGCAGCTGTCCCCATAAGCAGAGATGGTAGAAGAGGTAACAGGGATAGTAATGACAACTCATCCTGCAGAAAACCAGACAGACAACAAAGGGCTTGCTTTACTCTGAAACATGGCGACCTCTGAGAGGAGCATTCACTATGAATAGTGGCCAAGTAGCTACAAATGAGAAAAAAGAACAAGAACCCTTCCTGCAGCACACTAACAGGGACAGTGGTAGGATCAGGTGAAACCATCCTCTGTCCCTCAGGTGGGACTTGGAACCACTGCTGAACCACGTGAATGCTGGCCCGCCCCACGATGAATCACCCACGCTGACGAACAGCACAGCCCTGTGATCTCCTGTACTGCAGCTTCCCCAATGCCATGCAAGTGTTATTTTAAGTACTGACTGAGGGGAGTGATATTTCCCTTCTGAATCACCAGCAGAGATCACCAGAGCCATGAAGTGACCCTTACAAGTCTCCTTGATCGGCAAGCTCTAAAATTAGATAGGACCAACGTACCAGGTGCTGTGATCTCATATAAGAGCTGAGTAGCCCTTGCTGATAGCCCAAGGACAAGCCAAATAGTCTGCTTTAAGCCCATCACATAACTCATTCACAAAGCCTCCCAGGGACCCATACACCAGAAGGAATGGACTCAGACATTATGACCGATCACAGCATCAACCCTGACACTGGTGCACACACTGGGCTAACCACACTCGGCCCTCACTGTCTCAGCTGTTTGTCTTCCAAGGGCATGGAAAAACACAGGATTTTAGAAGATGAGGACTTGGGGACAATCTGGGGCCCAACATGATGCCTCATACCCACTGAACACAAGTCCAGACAAGGACTGGCAGTTCTGCAAACCTATTGATTGGTCATAGCTGAAGAGGTTGTGAAATCTCTATCCTTAGAAGTTTTACAGACCTGACTAGCTAACACCCTCAGTAAGCTGGTCTGACCTTATAACTGACCCTGCCTTAGAAGATTTGATAGAAACCTTCCTGAGGTTCCCTTCCAAATCCAAATATCCTAGGATCCTACAAAAACACCTCTCACCAGGTTAACCATGCCACCCTCATTAACAGCATCTTATGATATGGCTGCAAGTTCCATATGCAGAGATGGTCCCCCCATCCTGAGTCACCATCAGCAGAAAAGTGACTAAATAGACCTATGGTCACAGTCTCTTGCAGCCCATAGTGCAACACAAAAGCAGCTTGAGATCCATGTTCCCATCCTCCCATGAAACAGCAGGGTCATTTCTCTGCTCAGACTCACAGGCTGGATCATGGGAAGAAGACAATGTTCACTGCAAGATCCCCATCCTCTCACTCTTGCCTGCTGTTCTTATAGTTACCTATTCCCCAACATACAACCCTGACTATCTCCAGTATCTTCAACTAAACTTTGACTTCTTTAAGACATATGAATGTATTCTGTACTATTTCATTAGCATACAGAAGATATGTTACAGAGATTTATGAAGCAATCATATTTCTGCAAACAGTCTTCACTTTCAGAAAAAATTACCATGGAGCTGTGGTGCACACTAAAGTATTTTCACATAATTTTGTCTGTTGCCATACCTCTAGAATAGGATACAAAATAAATTAAGACAGAAAGCAACAATACTGTTAAATTCTAAACAAAATAGGAAGCTTTACACTCTAGGTCTTAAACTGTAGTATGTGAATAGCAACATATCATAATTCAGACAAAGGGAATTCACATTTCTTGAGAAAAAGTTACAGAAAAAACCATGAAACTTTTATATACATTAATTCCTCAGTACTGTGCCTTGTCACTTCAGGCCCTTATTCCACCCTTATTGAGAAGGCCACTGGATAAATAATAACTACAGAATTCACTTTGGAAGAATACGGTTAGGTGAAATGAGAAAACAGACTTATGAAAACTTCTGCTCAGGAGAAGGGAGGAATTCAGCACACATTTAGGCTATGTAAGACCTCAGGGTGAAGGTGCATCACAAATTAGAAAAAAGGTTGCAATGAAGCAAAGACCACAGTTAAAACAAAGGCTTTTTGTTATGACACAGAGTGGTCATCAGTCCTTTCCCTGTGTATCATCCAACAAAAAAAGGTCTTTATCATTACCAGTGTCCCCACCAGTGTCCCCCAGCATTGTTCTGCTGCACACTGTAAAAAAATAATAATCAGTCTTGGAATTCTGCATTCACTTCCAGACACCTCATTAACTCAAGAGATGCAGACTACACAGAGGGAGTTCAGAAAAAGCAAATAAATGAGCAGGATGCAGGAGGCATTTACCTGGGATAAAGATTAAAAGAGCTGAAGATTCCAAAGCTGGCTAAGGGATAGCAGAGGAGGAACAGTCTACCAGTTAGGAGGTTTGAATAGCAAGGAAGCAGAAGCACCTGCAGCTCTGCATGTGCTACAAGAAATACAACCAGGTAAAAGCAGGTGTCATGAATGGCATAATTTAGGCATAACACATAAGAACAAAAACTATGCTGATCAGCAAGCAGAGCTTAGCTTGATATACCAGGATGACATCAGGGTCTGGGTCTGGCGAGAGGCATGTCTCTGCCTATTGCCAGAAGGAGTGTTACTGCCTAAAAGAAGCTAAATTTGCCTGTCTGTGCTGTAGCAGAACATGATGACTACAGTCACCAAGTGAGCCTGTGGCCTTTACCAGTCAATGTAAATACCAACCTGCCATTGCCAAATTATGGGACATGACCGTGACATTGTGTCAGGCAAACCACACATTTTCAGCCCAATGTTTTCATTTTGAAAAAAAACAGAGCTGAGGAATAAACAGATTGCTGACAACAATCAAGCAATGGAGTGACAGATACATGTATATGAGCTGGACTTCAGAGCAACCTAAACACATCACCCAAGTGCTTTTTACCTACTCAATTCTGACTTTCCACTTGACATTGCTCCTTTTATTCCTTTCTACCACTTCAGTCCTCAGGGTCAACAAGTGCTATTGCTACTCTGGTCCTCCTCTACAATGTCAGACCTCCCAGCTTCGTGTCATCAACAATCTCCTTGATACAGTTTTGTTTGTGTCCAAGTCATTGCCAATCTGTTTAATGAGATTTGTTTGAAGAGCAAATCTCATTGCTTCTATGAGTTTCTTACCTGCTTTGCAATTTCCCTACTAATCCCCACTTTTTCTTGGTAATGGAGTCATATCCAGTGTACTAAATATTTTAACAAGTACACCTACTGCATTTCTGTCACCTAACTCAGAGGATCCCAAGCTGTAGTGCAGGTACCAGCAGTGATATATGCAGCCACAATATGTTGCTGCCATCAGTTCTGAAAGCCTAGACAACCTGTCACCCTTGCCCCTCTATGCAACTCCCCCCTCAACAAATCAGCACACCCACTGACAGAGCAACGTGACAGTAACAAAACTCTAGAAAGTCCATCACAAGTGAGTGTCTTTAAAAATACCAACATACAAAAATTACCAAGAAACCTCTCAGGAAAGAAAGAATGCATGCAAATTTGAGTTTATGAGCATTCCTACAGTAAAAACCACATATATCATGCTCATGGGTAGAATGATATAATGCAATGTAACAAACCAGCTTGGGTTATCTGGGGAAAGTCACTGATGCTTTCTTTCCTGGACTTGTGAGCAAGCTGGAGTAGTTCTGGCTCTACGCCTCTAACTGACACGAAGAAGAAAGGCAAAGAAAAAAATACTGTGTCTTGGTCCTATATTGATGATCTCACTGCCTGCCCCTGGTAAGTCCTAGATGAAACCGCCTGATAGGGCATCATCCCTTCCCATCCTACCTCCATCTGTGACTGTCTCTTTAGATCAGGAGCAGATACTAGTCTCTGGCTTTAATTTGGCTGTAATATTTGCCAATTATTTTAAGAGATGGCGACACTAACTTCTATTGATCTCATTAAAAGTAAAGGTCGTTGTGCAGCTCATTTCTCAGGGCTCAATATTACCTCCTCCGGCCAAAATAATAGCATTGATTTTGGAACCTTAATCGAAGGTTAATTGGATTGAAGACTGTATTGGGTTTTTGCTTGCTTTCATTGTTGTTATTACAGCCATTGTCTAAGGTTTTGCTTAATCCTGCTATGGCAATTCTGGCCAATTAAACTTGTGTCAAATTAGCAAAGGGTGTGGATGGAGAATAGCCACAATTTGAAGCCTTCTCTGCCTCTGCTCTGAAATGGCTCTGATCCATAGCAGATTAGGATGGTCACACAAGAGATCTGATTTCATACCCTGTGATCCACTTGTGAGGATCAAAAGTGCTCTGTTAGGCAGTTCTATTACTATGCAGTGATCTAGCATCACAGCAAGATGATGTCTGAACACACTTGATATCCTGAAGATACAGGAGTAGTTTTAGGACTCCTGGAGTGCACTCCCAGCATGCCCCGTATTCTCTTTGAGGACTCAGGAAATTATTTTCATGCTCAATGCTCCGTCTTCCATGGCATGCAGGTGGGGAGAAATACTCTGATTCATTCACCCAGGGAACTGAGGGACTAACTTGTCCAGTTTGCATGGATTCTCAAAAGGGCACAGCTAGAGAAGCCTAGTCATTGTTTTTTTTATTTTTTCTTGCATCTCTGTCAGACCCAAAATGACCATGGGGATCATTTCCCTTGGTTTTAAATGCAGTTGTATTTCCTTGGATTTAATGTAAAGTATCTTGTTGAGACTTAAGCAATTGATTGACATCGATGCTCAATACCAACTTTCAGTAAGAAACAGGTCTGTGTGTAATTTAACTCTTTTACCTGGTGTCTGTGCACAGTTCAAAAGCTGAAAATAGCAGAGGTCACTACTCCTGCTTATCAGTGCCTTGTGAATTTCACTAAGCTTCAGACAAGATGAAATGTAAGAGAATCTGCAAAGAAACCTCTCGTCAGACTAACTCAGTAAGTGCAAAGAGCAAGAATAGCCATTTTCCCTAGAAACAGTGTTCTTCTCTATGCTCTGCTTCATCTAACACTTGAGTGTTATAAGCACAAATACTTCAGACATGAGAGGTTTCCACTGCTGACAAAAGGATCCCACCCTGGGAAATCCCACTTAAATTTTAGCAGCTACACAGCTACAGCTCCTGACTCTTGGCAGAAGGGTAAATCCCGCACTGAAAGTCTATTTCAAGTTGCAAAGCCATCAGCTACAGGAAGGTACCGGGCTCTTTATCGAGCTAAGAGATAGCGTTTCAGTGCAGAATCCATTTAGTAACAGAAAGAAGGAAAAAAACACAGTAGGATGGAGTAACAGATGGCAGTAATTGCACACAGTAGCTCATCTTAAGTACCCTAGCTGTTTGCTTTCAATTCTCAGCTGGACAAAACACTTTTCTGACTTCTGAATCAACCATGGCGCATGACCAGGCTCTTAGCAAGCTGAAGTACATGGCATTGTTTCCTTTCCCTGACTCAAATCCAAATCAGGCAGATCATGGGGACTCTTCACTTGGCTACCTGAGCTGGCTGGTTGGTTTGAGGCTATACAGCACATGCCATGAGCACATCTAGAAGTTCCACAGGTCCTAGAGCCCACTGATACAGCAGCCTCTGCAGTGACAGGCAGAGAACTCACAAAGAAGGATGGAGAACACATGTGGCAGACCAAAGATAATGTTAAGATTCATATGCAAATACAAATGAATCTGGTATAATCAGAATGGATACAAAAGGAATGTTTGTGCCATTTGGGATCTTCTTTAAAAATCCATGTTCTAAGTAGCCTTGCTGCCCTTCCTTTCCTCCTGTATATAGTATGCTGCAAACCCCTTGAGAGCCCCCAGTCTAATTTTTCTCTCTTCCCTGCTCTACCCACTTCTTCCAAATATACCTTCCCAACCAAGACTGCAAATGTTGTGTTTTAAAACAGGAAGAGTCCAGTTTCCAGATGCCCCCTTCTTTGCCCTGCCATGTTCTAGTCTTCCCTTAAAATTCCTGCCGTCTCATTCTTGGTAACTCCCTTCTCCAGATTTCCCTTTCACCGTCAATATCCCAGTTGCATGCTCCTCCTCAGCTACACTACAGTGTACAAGTACACTTGTACATGAATAAGTAACTGTTTCACAGGCAGATATTTCAATGTTTGCACTTGTCTTTAGAAATCAAAGCCTTCTCTGATTAAATGCCATTACAATCCAGCACTTGGACGGATCCAGAGAGATTAATGTGCTTTTGGGCAGCTTTAATGATAATCCTGCTACAGACGGTATTAAGTAAATGTCAGTAACCTGGTTTGAAGGGAGCTTTCACCTCAGGGATCCTTTCCATTTAGAGGAGAGAGGCTCAGCTTGCTTTTCAAGGCTGCATTGTCACAAAAAAGAAATCCTGCTTAGTGAAGACTCCTCTTCCTCCACACCATAAAACAAAATGGAGTAAAATGATAGAGGGACTGATAAAACAAATATATTTGGGTGATTTATAGGGAGCTAATGCATCTCTTGAAAGCCAAGATTGCTGTTATATTATAAGCCAGATCACAGTTTTGAAACCTGGGTTGCCACCCCCTCCTCATGCTTTCAGGGTCTGCTGCCTTTTTGCCCATCTCCCCACTATGTCATACAGTTCTTTACCCAGGGCAACAACAGCAGCAGCCAATAATTAACCTTGGCAACCTTGTCCCCATCTGCTGCACCTTGCCACAGGATAAGTCTGGGGTGTGCACTGCCCCTACCTCATCTTACTGTGGCCATAATAACAGATCTCTTTTCCCATCACATTATTCTGTCTGGCTCAGTATTCCACCCTTTCTACCTTGCTTTTTTGGCAATCAGTAAAAGTTAATAATTAACTTCGGATGATGGGAAGAGGAAAGGAAGAAAGAAAATTCAGTCCTACCACTGAGCTGAGTAACATGCTCTACCTGATTGATGGCTGAAACTCTGAGGCTTATACTTTGCAGTAGTAGAAGTCTGTTGACAACTTTTTAAAAATTACTTCTTAGCTATTATTTAGAGACCAGTTTGGATTCAGGAAAGCATGTGATTTCACTGCTGCATAGATGTATTGTGCCAAGTCATCACAAAACAACCTTCCCAAAGGCATGGATAAATAAAAAAAATTAGCAAACATTTTCAACCTACATTACTCCTATCACAAGCAAAAGCCTCTGCAAGTTAGAAAGATTGAAATTAGCTGTTTCTCTACAACTGTGCTATCTCCAGCAGTCTGAGAAAATTCAAAGAAAATCCCAGGGTGCTTACACTATGCTAACTACCTCAGTCTCAAAACGGACCTGCTGTCTGAGATCTATGAGGAAGCCCACCTCAAAATCTAAATGTACATATTGCTTAAGAGTCCTTCTGTTAATACACCAAAACAAGCCCTTCTGACTCTCAAGACTTGAGGAATATTCACTCTTCTATCTGAGTGTGTGGGCTAGACTTCACCTCTGCCTATAGCAGAAGTATAGGATAAACTCACTCAAAGAAACAACTGTCTCACTTTGGACCAGTTGACTTGTCCAGATGAATGGAGCTGACCACCTTTTGCTACAGACAGAACTTTTCAAATCTCTCTTAATAACAAACTTCATGAGATAAAAATAATCAGAAACTGAAGTTGCTCCTTTAGGGTAACAGGAACTTCCATCTTGGAACAAACCATGAGTATCTTTAATGTAAGAGCATGGTCCTCTTTCACTATGTCTCCTTGAAGATCTTCCTAGTTCTGCAGCCTACAGGAAAAGGATTATGTACTTTTCCAAAGAGCACAAGAACAGAGATCTCTCAGACTGATTGCTCCCTTCACATCTTTGTGTACTTATTCTTCTCTCCCATCCCATCCTGTCAGCCTCCATTTTGCATCAAGGTCAAAATCAGTTTTGCGCTGCTCAGCACACCCAATTCAAAGATGGCTGAGAAGTTACCTCATTGACATTGATGCCATTCCTCTCCATATAGGCCCTGTCATTCACTTGTCCCCCTTCCATAAACTCCATGAGAAGGACACGGCTTGTGGAGAGCTCCCAGTAGATCCTAGGGACCTGAAACAGAAACAGATGGGTTAGGTCAAGCAACAGCATGGGAAAGGAAGAAGAATATATCACACAAATCCCAGAAAAGGAGTAAAAATGGAAGCAGCTGAAGAGAGGACTTGGCTTTTTTGATGAGCACAAGGGAGGTAAATTCATCCATCAGCCTCTTCCACAGGACAGCAGCAATGTGTAGAAGGATAATACACCAATTCAACTACAGTAGGATCTGATCTCATGCAACATTTCTGACCACGCTCTACAGGATTCTGACCACCTCCCATTCCCAGTGATGTCTGAGATACCTTTCTTACCTGCTCTGCAGCTCCTCTAGCTGGGCTGTTTAACTAGTACCTATTGCAAGTTTCTGAATCATCCACTCAGCTCCTTTAGACAGGAACTGCATCTTGTTTGCTACGCACAGCGTCCACTTACGCAGCTTTAAAAATTATAAGCCTTCATCATAAATTGTATCTCCGCAGTGCCCCTTGGAACACGCATGCCTTTGAGCTGACAAACCCTGCATACTTAGGCCATCTGCAATTGAACTGGGAGAAAAATCGAGTGTCACAAATAAGGGACTTGTCACAGAAACCCTGTGAGACCCTTAATTATCTTATTGCAAACAACACAGTAATGAGTGTAAAATGTCAAAGCAGTTTTCATTCAAGCTGTGGTAGATCAAGCTGAGTGAGGTACCAGAGAAGTCTGGTGTCATCCAGGGAGGCAGTGATGAAAGTGTCACTCAGGCTGGCTCCCCATTTTGCAGCCTCCCTCTCTAGACAAATTTCTCCTATGCTTGAAGTCCCTATTGTCAAGAGCCATTTTGCTGAATTCCCCTTCAAAATTCCTCATGTTACTGTGCTGACCAACCCTCAATCTGCCCAAATCTGCTTTTGCACATGGGTGAAGCCACATATGTACATTTTAGCAAAGACATAAGGGAGCTCCGGCCACTCTCATTACTGTGCCCCCCATTGCTATGACAGACATAATATTTTTCGATCATACAAATAGTAAGCCAGCTGTGCAGTCCCTTCTCCTCATCCTCCTGATTCAGCCATGGACTCAGGACCAGCACCTTAGGGCAGGAGAGGAAGAGGTAAGAGTTGTTGTCCATCAACTGACCAAAACCAGGGGATGACCAGCCAGGCCACTGTAGCTCATCATAGCTCCTGAACAAGCAGCATTTGTTGCTTTTAACTATTGACAATACCCCAGTCCCTTACAAACTAGCTGCTTCCCTCCTGTTCCTGTCCTAGAGAAACCACTTCTACTTTACCACGTGTGTGCCACTTTAGATCAAAGGCTCCTTTGCTGAGTAATTTCAGTGTCTCTCAGTCCCATCATTCAACACCCCTGGTTATACTTTGCAGGTGAACCTTGCTTAGACTTTGATGCCACTATGAGCAAGGGAGATTCAGACACTCACAGCCTTCCCAGCTTATCTGCATGCCCATTCTTTGCAGTTAGATTGGTGAGAAAGCCTGCTAACTCCAAAACTAAGAGTTCCCCATCCCATATAGCTCTCTGATCCCTTAGCTCACTTCCAACGACACTCAGTCTTGCCTCAGGATTTACACAGGCAAGTCAGTGGGCTTGTAAAGCGCTATTAATGCTGGCGGAGATGCCTCTCTCAATCACAGCCAAATTCTTCAGTGATTTTTTTAATTATTCACAGATGTTTGGCTCTAATGCTCGTGTGTGGAAATAATTTATCTCTGGCTTTAAAAGCTCAAACAGGTTCACAGCACAAAATCTACTTCTCAGCTTTCTGGCATGTTTCGGAAAATTTATGATACAGAAACCCAATTCTTCTGCTGCTTTTAGGTGATGAACACGTCTCTGAATTGGCAGGTCAGATGAGAGGATCCATTATTTAGCCATCTCAAGTCATTTGTTATTGTTACACATATCGATACCATGATAGCTCCTTACCCCAGCAAGGAGGTGATTGGCTGTCTCCATGAGGGTTTATCTCACAGTACGCTACTTACAGTGCAATGGACACGCTCTCCAAGGTGCATCACTTCTGAAAGGCACCCACTCAGCAAAACCACTCTGGCCTTCTCTGTGGTGGCTTTTACCTGCATCTACGGGAATGCCATTGCTGACACTGGGCTTCAAAAGGACTGCTCCAAAGTTGGTGTTAGGCAACATGGAATTGCATCCCTTTCATGGAAGGAGCAAGGAAAAATTGATAGATCAGCCTGTAAAGCCTAACAAAAACTCACCTTATCTCACACCTCTGTCACTGCTATCTTGGGACTTCTGCATGAACAGGAGGGAACAAGCTCCTTTAGAAGTGTGTATCCATGAAGGTCCACAGGATGTGTTTTTTGCTGCCTTTTTGTATGTGCCATGGGCACATCAGTGACTGCAACCATGGCACTGTATATGTTTCCAGAAAGCACACACTGGAGGCTTGTGTCTCTTGTATGTCAGCAAAACACTTCAAAGTGCGACTTTGAAGATGTGGCCTTATGTCTTTCCAAGACTGAGATGTGTACATGTCTGGTTGTACTCGAGATATTTATCAGTGACCTAAGTATGAGTTGGGGGAGGTAGGCTAAAAGTATCAGTGGGGAAGACCACACATGAGTGTAATTTGGTTTCTGTATGAAGTGACATGAATGCACTAGCCATAGATGTGTATAAAGGATAAATGTCCAATTCTAGGGTGAGAATGTGATTTTTTGCAGTAGGATGGACTCATGTAAATATGCTTTTTCCTGAGATACTACTTGACATCATCAGTTTCAGTCTAGCTTTTCTGTTCTATGTCCATTTCGTGTCCTTAGTTGAAATAGAGCCCAAGGAAAGGTACCACCAGATGGCTCAGTACAGAACGGCAAATTCACAGTCTCTGAACAAGTTCAAAAAGAAAATTTAAATGAAATTCAGAAAGAAAACTTGGGGAAATGAGCAGCAGGCTCCAGAGACTGCTGGTCCCAAGCCACCACTCCTGACCCAACAGAGTGCATTCAGTAGGAGACAAACAAGGAGAAAGCATGTCTCAGAGTATTTTCTGGTCCATATTAGCAGAGCAGTCTAGGATGAACAACACAGAGGGGCTGAACTTCATTTTCCCTCCTTACGTTTCCTCCACTTGGTGAATGAGGGGCATAAGACGTAGAGAGGAAGACTATTAATGCACATACATAGAAAGAAATATGTGTTTCCTCACCTTCAGGAAGTCAAAATTTTTGAGCATATGAGCAACCTTCTCAGCATTTCTGCCTTCATGGAGGAAATCCAGCTCCAAGGGCAGATTCTTCTTAGCTTCTTCCACCAGCCACATGAACTCAAAATCTGGAAAAATCTGCTTCACAACCAAGAGGAGAATCTGAGAACAAGGAAACAGACAATCAGTTGGATCATGGCTCCAAAGCCACACAGCTACACACAGTGCTGTTTTGATAGGATCATTCCATGTAACTTACAAACAAAAAAAGCAAGTGCTTTTAGGGTTCCTACAGTATCACAACACAGTGTCATGCCTTGGTCATGTAACACAAATTCTGGCCTACTCTTCCACAGAGAAAGGCACATCTAGGAGTTAAATGATAGCCCACACATCAAAGGGAGGGCAGCTGACTGCTGCCTAGAAGTAAGAGAACAAAGCTCTGGAGAAGAGCCCACGTGGCCAGATCTCACCAAGGGTGTTGCCCTTGTTGAGATCTTCTGAGTCCTATAATTCTACAAGTCATTCTTTGACTTCATTTGAACAGCTCTCAGATAATGTACACGAGGAGGACCAAAAGTAATACTTGTCACCTCTATGTTACTTCTTCCACTGCTGAGCACAGAAAACCCTCTGGGCAGTTCAAAGAAAACAGTGGAGTTTGGATAGAGTCAGTAGGCTACAGATCCTTAAATAACACTTCTGATAGAGCTCAGAGGGCAAGCTGCTCTTCAGCATCAGGCAAAGCCATTCTCACAAGGCTGAGGAGGTATTTCCCAAGCATCATATATTCACCACATGGAATATATGGAATGCTCTTCTTAAAGAGATTAGATATTCAGAGACATAGCACCTTTAAAATCCCAACCAAAAAGTTCCTTGAAACATTTGACTGGAGCAACATTTAAGGGGTGAGTGAATCAACATTACACAATTGGATGGCATAATCAAAGCTGCACAGCAGCCAAGTATGCTTTCTGTTCATACAAAGGGACAGTTTCTCCACCAGAGCTGCAAATTTACACAAGCTGACAATATGGACCACATCTTAAGGAAAATTGTTTTTACTGTTTTTAACTGAGTCATAAAACAAGTAAAAAACTCCATAACAATAGAATGCACTTTGCTGTCTTTATTTTACGTGTTCTGCACATTCATCTGGAAACAGAAACAGGCTTTTAAGTGTGTGTTATTGCATAGTTTCCCTTTCTCAATCTCCACCACTGGGGTGGGAACTCCTGCACTGCAGAAGGAACATTTAAAGTACACACAGGAAGCTGCTAACATCGAAATGTATGACAAAAATAAATTTATGAACCATCACTGCTCCTGTTCAGTTGTGTGACAACATTTGTTCTCTACCCCGTCTCAACTTCTCTTATCTAAATGTCAGTTGCAAACTCAATGTTCCTTTAAAAATGTAATCACCAGGTTCCAGACACTATTGAATTGTATTTTTTACTGTTATATCTAGAGGCATAAATCCTTTCAAATTTATGTCACCCAAATGAAATGTAACCAGCGATCTTCATGAACATGAACATAAACTTCATAGGGTCTCCAAGATTATTCCATTGATGTTTGATGTGAGAAAATTCATGCTTTTTTTTCACTTTCTTCATATGCTCCTTTCAATAAATTTGCCAACTTGACCATCAGCAGGGACATCCTAATAAGTATTTTGCCCACCCCTTTTCTGACACCTGTCAACATATTGTCTTGAAATAATTATTGACATATAGAGAGCAGTGAGGTATCTCTCTCTGGGTTTATCAGATGCTGTACTGATTTTTAAAGAGTCAGCATTGATGCTATGAAACCTCAAGTGAATTTAGGAATTTTCCAGCTACCTATTCTTGTTCAGATTCTTTCCCATCAGTCTCTAGATGAGACCATCTCCATCAATATTTAAATCAACCTCTTTACCTAGCTGCAATGTCCGTCTGATTCTTAAAGGACCAGAACATTAGCATGTGTGACCTGGCTTCATAACAGTCTACACAAAAACAGTCCCACACAAGGATACAACGATGCATGTAAGCCAAGACCCCACAAGAGGGACCTTTTAAAAACAAAACTCCATGTGTCATATTCTGAGCTACCTTTTCATACCTGTGTATACACAACATGTGAATGGTAAACCAGAATGTCTGTACAAGGACAGTACTAAACTACCAAAAGAAAATACATTGGTTTATTTCCAAGTTTCCCAGAAGGAATAGTTTAAAGCCAGAAAAGAAATCATTCAAATAATTTGTTATTTAGAATCAGGAATCATTCTAAAATGAAACAGGAATAATTCTAAAATAATTTGTTAAAATGTCTCTTACCAGTATAATCAGCAATCACAGCAACATGGTGTGAGGAGGTATGTTCCTATGATATCCACTATTAGAAGGGCAAATGTCCCAAGGTAAATAGAGGTTTTGGGTCATTCACACAGAATCCTCTTATTACCCTGATCCCATATTCTTTCATTACCTGCTCATCCTTAATCCTTGACTGCTCTCTGTCTGCCACCTTATTTTGGGAGGGAGACAAGGATGTCATAAGCCCCCTGAGAAGTGCTGTGCACATGATGACTCATAGAAGCAAATTCATTGGGCAGACCACTGCAGTGAGTCCTGGAGAAGATCTGAATCAAATTCAAATCTTAGCTGGACCCAAAGCCAGTTCAAACAGTTGTGTTCTTGAAACAGCATTGAAACAGACTGATCCTATCTTATTGGGAGATCTCTTTGGAACTCAAGTTTCTTTCACTGTGAGTTCAAATTAAATACTCAGTTGCAAACTTATGTGCCCCAGCTGGAACCAGCTGTGCTTCTATGCAGACTAGCCAGGATTGCTCAAAGCAGGGTATTTTAACTGCCTAAAGAAGCTTTAGTTACACACTGCTCTGAGAGGTTGCTGGCAGAATTTTTGATTTCTGATCTTCTGTGATGGAGAACTGTGTTACTGCATCAGCAATACCCTCCAAACACTCATCAGAACTCCTCAGCTTAAGCTTCCCCTCTTTAGTACTGTGGACCTACCTGTCTGCTAATTACTGTGCACTTACTGTATATACAGACATATATGTGTGTGTATATATATATATATATATATATATACATACACACATATGCTTTATTAGGAGAGCACAAAGCTTTAGTGTTAACCACTTACAGACCTAATCCTTCCCATTTTCTCCACCACAGCCCTGCCCATTTGTTGTTTTATACTGTATTGCTGGCATCTTTGTCTGTTGCAATGCAGTACAGGGCTGCAGTTTATTTCCATTTCCTCCTTTCTATAGCTAGACTTAGAAGTTTGGGAAAAGCTACAGCACTGCACTGGGAAATAAGAGTGGTACCTACCATTCAATAGAGGAACAGAAGCTTAGGCATTGAAACTTTTTTCCTACCCGAATCCCTCATTTGTGTATTTGCCCCTGTTAGGTGACCCTCTCTGTATTTCAGTGTTTTTGTTTCTACCATTATTCAGTTCAGCATTTCGGAGCTGATCAAGAAACAAAACGAATCATAGCAACTTCATCTACTGTTGAATCCACACTAGAATTTAATTGAAAAACATGCTAATCATGAACAATGATTTTCCTTGATCACACAGGCCTGACTACAAGAGATCAGTTAATGGTCCCTGAGACCAGTTAATGAGCACAGGGGCTGAAAAGAGACTTCAGGACTCACTCTCTACTTCTTAAGTCTTATATGGACTTACCATAGTGTCACTAATCTTTACCTGTCTTCTCCTCCTTCCCTCTTACCCTGTTGTTCAGTCTCTCCATCCATACAATCACCAGCACTGCAATCCTCACCAATTTTCTGCATTAATCCTGCAAGACAGCACTGATCTCTGTGGAGGTTTCAAAGCCACAGGTTGGTGTTGTTATACCTGCTTACACCATTGATGAATGTGGTCCCCATACACTTCAATGGCAATTATTCTGTAAGTTTGAAATTAACATGTAATTTTACCTCCATGAGCAAAATATCCTTGGAGCTCTGAGCTTGGACCTTGGGGTGCTGGATTTTCACTGCCACCGTTCTCCCATCCTGCAGCACTGCTTTGTGTACCTGGGCTAGTGATGCTGCTCCCAAGGGAGTGTCCTCAAAACTGACAAAGAGCTCTTTTATCTACCGAGAGAAGAGAAAGAGGCATCAGCTTGGAGCAACAGAAGCCATGCTCAGGAAAGCCCTGCCCACAGGCCAGAGAGTTCATGTGCCAAAGCTGGGCAGACTCAGCTTTTTCATAGTTCTTCTGTCCCTTCTCTTAGCCTTGTCATTGCTTGGCCTCTGAGTGAAGCCTGCCAAACACGCAAATGCCCTGGAGATACTCTGCTTATGGAAACCTGTGACAGAGTCCCAGCAGCACATTTCATCTTGGACTTGCAGTGGCCAGGCAGTGTGCGAGACTTCTTCAGAAGGTCCTCAAAATGGCTTGAAGTGATTATGGTCAGCATCCTGGGTGTAGAAGCCAACAGCTGCTCCTTTGCATGTATTTCTTTTGCAGATATTTAATACCACCCACCATCACCCCTGAAACCTGACTGTGTATTCCTGTGCATTGCAGCAGCAGCAAGCTTACTTGGTGAAAGCCAGCACATGACTGGGGAGCAGTGGTTAAGGGCTGCATTCAGGACAGGGGGATAAAAATTGCTGTTTCAACTGTGACATCTTGGCCTGAAAACATGTTTAATGTGATGGACTTTGCCACACCTTCCATAAAAGTAACCAGGTCTCTCAGCTCAGAAAAAGCACCCATCAGGGACAGCAAAGCACTTGGCAAGCAGGAGAGGAAATTATTAGAAGCTCTGGCTGAGAAATCCAGGACTGGACTACAAGGAAAGATGCAGATGAAGTAGATTTACCAGGAGCAGGTCCAGGAAGCAAAATCCAAGGTAGACAAAGGTGAGGGCAGAAGCCCACCTCCCCTGCATAACACAGCACCCTGCTAGAGACCCTCTTGGCAGCACAGGCTCTGCAAGCACTACAACCATGGTAGTGCAATTTCAGCCTAGCTGATGAGCCAGGCCCCTCCACACAGTCAGTCTGCTCACAGCAAGGGCCAACACAGATATGTGGCTTCAGGCACGGTTCATGTAATGCTAGTTGAGGATTGTTGTCCAGCTCTGTAGGGCAAGGCAAACATAAACTGAGGTTTCCAGAAGTCAGAAAAGGGACCGTGTTCTACCCTTCTAGCAGGCTCAACTGATTTCAAGTGAGCAGTTGAGAAGCCTGTAATTTATGCAGTAACAAAAAAGAAAGAATGTCAGTGCATTTTTATAACCTGCTTTTTAAAAGGTAATTAAAGATGGGAGCTGCAGCAACCTAGCAATTAAATATGAATAAAGACCTTCTAAGCAAAGTCTTCATGCAAAGCCTTAAACGAATACTCTTTTTGCTGAAAAGGAAGAAAAATACTACAAGGAGCAGCCTGTTCCCTCCTGCAGCTGCCAAGGAATGAGCCCCCTCCCACACCACCCCACCCCTTCTCTCCCAGCCCCTTCCACAGAAAACTATTGCTAGCCACAAACTGGAGCATTTGCAGTAATTAGGTACCAACACAGACTCGGCAGCCTCCAGTAATTCACTAGGAAGGTTCATTTTATTTATTTAATTAATTCTCTTTGGTCCTGGCGGCAAAATCAATTAAGTAAAACAACTGCATTTAAAAACAACTAGTTATGTGTTTTTTAATTACAGCAGGTCCATAATTCAAACCTATTGACATTTGTGTCTCAAGAGAAAATGTGTTCAAGACACAGGGACTTCTACCTTTATGTGAAGTTTATGTATTCCCTGAAGAAAGGATCTATTAAGGGTAAAGATTTAAGGTGGCCAAGAGCCTGCTGGGCTGTAAGATCCCATAAGGAAGAAAAAAATGCACGCAGAGAACCTGCCACATGAGGTCGAGCTGGGATTTTCTTCAACTCTCTCACTACCCTACATCCTTGTATCAGAGGGATGTATCCTTTACAAATTGGTTACTACTCTAACTATCATAAAGCTGGGTAACATCCCCCAAAGGTTAAAATACAGAATTGGGAGTTCACTGGCTTGAATCCAGTAAGGTACATTTTTAGCAAGATCATATATAAATTGGATAAAATTCCATCTGCTCTGGATTTTAAAACCTCTTAATTGCCTACACTGTCAATCTAGCAATTTTCACGAGAACTGAATGCATACAGGGGAAAAAAAAAACTGCACATGTTCCCTCTGGCAGGAAAAATATACCTCATTATCGCGTGACTAAGTTTTCTAAAGAAACATAGTTGAAGAAAGCTGTGTCTAGGAGTTATTTTGTATTGAAGAGTAATTTATAAACTTGCTACTTAGGACATGGAAGTCAGGTTAGCAGTCATGTCTGACAGAGCCAGCTCAGCGGCCCTCTCACAATTCCAGGGCAATTTTGTGCACGTTCACAGGCTGCAGACAAAGACAGCAAGGCAAGGGACTGCAATAGGGCCAGAGAATTGATGGATACCCCAGGAGCAGAAGGGCAGAGCGTGCACAGGGGGAGGGAGCAGATCACAGCCGAGCCATTACATGAGCAGGTGTGAGGCTGAGATAAAACAGAAGCACAATCATGGCTGGGCTCCAAGACCCCCCACTTAGCAAATAACCCTCGTTCATTATGGAATTGTCTTTTCTCAGCTCACTGGAGGCAGCTAATGCCTCTGCTGCAGGCTGTGTCCCAGACACACAAAAGCGCGCAAGAGGCGCTGTGACATGGAAGCGGAGAAGAGGTGAGTCTGGTTCCCACACTGCCTGCCAGGGAGTGGGGTCTTTCCAAAGGAAGGTGGCTGCACCCATTTCATGCAAGCAGAGAGTTCTTGGAACAGGCTGCAGGCTCTTACTGCTCACAAGCACCCTTAACAAAAATTGTCATTTCCAGAATGGATGATTAGCAAGCAAAAGTCTGGGACAGTCTTGGAGCGCACCTGACCTCAGGAACTCTCAAGTTTTTTCCAGGCTACAGCTGGTCTCAAATGGCCTCATCAAACTCACTGTTACCATCTGAAATCCTGGCAGGAGATGAAACAGGTTTAATAAACGTTTAAAAGGAACTTTAGGGCTGCTCTTTCAAAGGAGCAGGACAGCCAGCTGCAGGTTTACAGCCATGCAGGTGAGCAGTGTCCCTGCACACAGTGGTTTCCTTTGCTCCTTCTGCAAGCCAGGTCTCCATCAACAAGCACAGGCTCCACCAGCAAATGAATGTGTGCTGTACTTCACTTGCTGGAAACACAGCCCTGATTGTTTAGTTCTGAAGAATGAAGCTCATTTAATTTTAAATACGCAAAACATGCATGATTGTTGGTATTAATATTCACATCTCAAAGAAGTGATATAAAAGCTCTAACAGGATCTATTTACTTTGGCACTTATAGTAGTATGTATTTGTGCTGAGGTTGCACCTAGAGACCACATTAAGCCCAGAGTGCCATGGTATGAGATCCACAGCCACCATGGGCCCTGCACAAATTCATGCTTTCCAGGAGCTCCCAGATGTCAGCTACAAGCTTCCTCACATGCTGAAGTGCTTTCCCAAAGCACAGCTGCTCTTCCCAAGGTCTGCAGCACATACTACCTGATGCCACAATGCTGGGCACCAGGATGCCTCAGTGTTTTTTGCAAATCCTGTCCTTAAACACTTAGGAAGATACTGGAAATCAATTGGATTTAAGCTCCCAAATCCTGAGTCCTTTCTGAAAGTATTACCTTACATGACCTGCCTAGCATGTTCTGAGAAGTCTTTGACAGAGCTGGGATTTAACCCAGATATCCCAAGTTCCAGTCTGATATCTTAATCTCTAAACCATAACAGTTAAATGTGCATGTCTTGCTAGCTAATTTCTTTTGAAATATATTGCCTCTTAATCCCAACCTTTTTATATCCATGTTTTTCAGCAAATGATGGAGTATTACTGCCTGGTTTCAACTTGCCCACTTCACAGAGAGGTATGTTCTCTTCCCTCTGGAAGGGCTGCTAGCATGGTGATCTGGAGCAGGAGCCTAAGTCATGGAGCCCTTCCCCAGCCCTGCATTATACAACATCGTTCTACATGAGATGCAGTGGCTCTGCTCTGCCACTGTGATTAATGCTGGCCATGTGTCAGCAGTTTGTTCAAGACAAATTTAGGAAGCAGTGAGATGCAGGATCACTAACAGCAGAAGGCATCAGGACTTTTGGAATTCACTTTATCAACACTAGCACGCTATTTTTGCTCTCAGACTCAATGCTCCTCCTGGTTTAAGGAACGTGAACCTCATGCTAGGCTGGTCATCTTTCCAACAAGATACACATAATGGCTCATGTTGCCAAGGGCTCACTGATCCCTGCGAGTCTGCAAGACCAGAGCTCTAAGTGTGAGAAAAATGTTACTTTGTTGTAGAGAATATACTTCCCAGACAGCGAGGGGTTTTTTTCCATCGTCCCAGCCCTCCTATCCCCTCTACGAAAACAAAATGTCACAGGGCTGCTCTGAGAATTATTAAAACAGCAAAAACTGAAAGATTAGATTTATCATAGTAGACAGTGGATTATGAAGAATAATTCATCAAACATCAGAACAAAAAGCCCACAATTTATAGGCGGCTTTGTTGAGTCAGTGAAATCTGATTGGACTTCTCCCCACCTAATGAATGCCAAGCTTAATTGATGGTTCCTAAATTCATCTGTCAAGAACATGTATTTATTAGTCCAGTATTTTTAATAATATTGTAGATGTAAACAGAACAGTGGTTTTGTTTTCAATGGATTTGCTGGTGTTCACATTACATTTACACATACGTGCACATATATAGAGCGGCATATGCTGCATCCAAATGAATGCAGGTAAAGGTATGTGTGTGTTCTCATGCACTGAAACAATTACCTATGGCTTATTACAGAAAATCCCTGCATCTTTCAGTGCACAGGATGGCAAAGTGAGGTGGTTCTTTTCAGGGGGAGAGATGCAATAAGGTGCCTGCCCAGAATTTGGAAGAGCTGAGGTCTAACATTGTTTCTCCTTGATATCCCCTGTGACACTGGGCCACACCATGCAACAGCACTCATGCTTCAATGAGCAGAATCAGGGCTGTCAACACAGCTAGAAATCTGCCCTTGTCTAATTTATAAGGTCCAAATT